CCGTTGCTGCCCCCCGTTGCTGCCCCCCGTTGCTGCCCCCCGTTTGCTGCCCCCCGTTGCTGCCCCCCGTTGCTGCCCCCCGTTGCTGCCCCCGTTGCTGCCCCCCGTTGCGTGTACAGTTACCAGGTGGTGGCCGTGTTGAGGAGTTCGAAGCGTGGCTGACCTTGAGGCTCCTCGATGTGTTTAGTCTGGTCAAACAGGTGTTCTGTTTTCTTAAGGTTACTTTATCAAATTCCTCGGCACCTTCACTCTCACGCCCACACTGCTCTCACGCCCACACTGCCAGCCCACACCACCGTCACGCCCACACTGCTCTCACGCCCACACTGCCAGCCCACACTGCCAGCCCACACCACTCTCACGCCCACACCACTCTCACGCCCACACTGCCAGCCCACACTGCCAGCCCACACCACTCTCACGCCCACACCACTCTCACGCCCACACTGCCAGCCCACACTGCCAGCCCACACCACTCTCACGCCCACACCACTCTCACGCCCACACTGCCAGCCCACACTGCCAGCCCACACCACTCTCACGCCCACACTGCCAGCCCACACCACTCTCACGCCCACACTGCCAGCCCACACCACTCTCACGCCCCCACTGCCAGCCCACACCACTCTCACGCCCACACTGCCAGCCACACTGCCAGCCCACACCACTCTCACGCCCACACTGCCAGCCCACACACTCTCACGCCCACACTGCCAGCCCACACCACTCTCACGCCCACACTGCCAGCCCACACCACTCTCACGCCCACACTGCCAGCCCACACCACTCTCACGCCCACACTGCCAGCCCACACTGCCAGCCCACACCACTCTCACGCCCACACTGCCAGCCCACACCACTCTCACGCCCACACTGCCAGCCCACACCACTCTCACGCCCACACTGCCAGCCCACACTGCCAGCCCACACTGCCAGCCCACACCACTCTCACGCCCACACTGCCAGCCCACACCACTCTCACGCCCACACTGCCAGCCCACACCACTCTCACGCCCACACTGCCAGCCCACACCACTCTCACGCCCACACTGCCAGCCCACACCACTCTCACACCCACACTGCCAGCCCACACCACCGTCACGCCCACACTGCCAGCCCACACCACCGTCACGCCCACACTGCCAGCCCACACCACCGTCACCACTACTAGCACCATCACCATCAAGGGAATCTACACTACCTACATTAGACCAATACTGAAACTTGCAGCGCCGGCCTATAGGTCACACCTTGTGAAGCACTAAATCAAAACTAGAAGATACAGAAGTTTGCAACAAGATTAGTGCCAGAGCCAAGAAGTTTAAACTACGAGGGAACTAAACCTCACAACCCTTGAAGAGAGAAGAAATAGAGGAGATATGATCACAATATACAACGTACTGAGGAGAATTGACAAGGTGGACAATGACAGCCTCTGTAAATTGAGAGAAAGTAGGACAAGAGGACACAGGTGGAAGCTGAAAACACAAATGAGTCGAAGAAATGTAAGGAAATACAGGTACCCTGTACAGGCGGTCAACAAGTGGAACGCAGCGAAAGAAGTCGTGGAAGCCACCTCCAGCCACACCTTCAAGACCAGACTCGGCAAAGAATTTGAACGTCACAATGAATTATAACGCAACAGGTTCAACAAGACCAGTAGACGGGCCACTAAGAGGGCCACCTTACTCCCCTGTAGTCACTATAGGTAAACTGATCGATAAATACCACCACCATCACCACTACCACCACCACCACCACCACCACCACCACCACCACCACCACCACCACCACCACCACCACCACCACCACCACCACCACCACCATCACCACTACCACCACCACCATCACCACCACCACCAGAGGAAGGAGACGAGGGACTACAGGCCAGCCAGAGTGTGACACTGTCCTGCCTGCTGGCCTACACTGGTGGGAGGACGTGTTGGAGGACCCCAGACCCCCATCACTCTAGTAATTATAGTCATAGCTCCACCCTGTTGCCCTTCTCACGCGTTCTCTCACCCTCTAAGTCAAGGAAGGAGGAAATAAGAGGAAGAGAGGGAGGGAGGACCTAAGAGGAAGAGGAAGGGAGAGATTGAGAAGCATGGAGAGTAAATGGGAGACATTTCATTGCTAACAACTTGAATTCCAAACGATTCTTTCCTGTCTGTACCCTCTTCCATTCCGCCTCCCTCACTCTTCCTTTCCCCTTCCTCCCTCCCTCTCGTTCTACGCTCATTTCCCCTCATTCTACGTTCCCCCTCCCTCGCCACCTCAGGTGAGTCCAAGTAGCAAGGGGTACTCACCTTCATAATGGCGTCGTGCACTTGATCTGCGGCAGGTGTGAGGGCCTCGGGGCTCCCCCCTCCAGTGTCCTGCCGTCGGAGGCGGGGATCCACACAATCAAAGAGGAGACGAGGCGAAATTCTCCTTATTGTCCACGCTTCGCGTACTTCGATCGCTCACTCTTCTGTTGAGCCACCGTCAGCGGTCCACGCCGTCAGCGGTCCACGCCGTCAGCGGTCTGGCCAAGCCTCCGGACGATATATTGTTCTCTGTAAACGTTTCCACACGGGAGCACAAGCGACCAACACCCTTTCTTACACTGGGCAGCAGACGGAACTACCTAACGGACGGGCGACACCTGACGGAGGATGAACCGTCGCTCCTGTAGTCGAGATGTCCGGATCCGGCAACGCCTCCACTGTTCAGCTCAGTGGTACAGCTGGGCAGACTAGCGGTGAACTAGCCGACGCAACACAAACGTTCACAGGAACACCGGACGGAACTAACGGATGGGATGGGGGGTTACCCGACTGCCTTCGTGGGGCTGGTGCTGCACTAGCGTCGGGCACGCCAGGGGCATGTGAGAGGGCACACACCGCCTCTTGGAGTGAGCTACTGGCACTGGCACTGCGGCTCTCTCCCTGGCAGCAGGAGCCCCGCCTGGCACGGGGAGTATGTGGGTAACTGGGACCTGACGATACCCACCCGGCCAACACCGCTCGGGGCACTCACACAAGCAGGAAGACAACTCCGGGAAAATAGAGCCCGGCATGTTGTGATACAGACTACTTGTTCCCGAGACGGAATGACACAGTGGTTAATAACTAGCGCGAGACGAAGGGAAGGCATGTGAAACCCAAGAGGGAACCTTACAAAAACGCCCACAGGGGCACCTCCAGGGGCCCCAGGGTAGTGTGGAGCACCAGAGGGCACCTCCAGGGGCCCCAGGGTAGTGTGGAGCACCAGAGGGCACCTCCAGGGGCCCCAGGGTAGTGTGCAGCACCAGAGGACACCTCCAGGGGCCCAGGGTAGTGTGGAGCACCAAGGGCACCTCCAGGGACACCTCCAGGAGCCCCAGGGTAGTGTGCAGCACCAGGGGCACCTCCAGGGGCCCCAGGGTAGTGTGGAGCACCAGGGGCACCTCCAGGGGCCCAGGGTAGTGTGGAGCACCAGAGGACACCTCCAGGGGCCCCAGGGTAGTGTGCAGCACCAGAGGACACCTCCAGGGGCCCCAGGGTAGTGTGCAGCACCAGAGGACACCTCCAGGGGCCCCAGGGTAGTGTGGAGCACCAGAGGGCACCTCCAGGGGCCCCAGGGTAGTGTGCAGCACCAGAGGACACCTCCAGGGGCCCCAGGGTAGTGTGAAGCACCAGGGACACCTCCAGGTACACCTCCAGGGGCCCCAGGGTAGTGTGAAGCACCAGGGGCACCTCCAGGGACACCTCCAGGGGCCCCAGGGTAGTGTGGAGCAGGAGACTCCTGCTCCACACTGGAACATCACAGCATCAGGAACGAGCGGCAGAATGATATCAATATTAACCAAAGGAATAAATATATACACATCGGAACCATAATTTTTGTAATATTTGTGATAGTGTTCGCTAGAGTTGTATTATAATAGTGTGAGTGTGTATGGTGTGTGTGCCGGGGTATTGTATGTATGGTGTGTGTGCCGGGGTATTGTATGTATGGTGTGTGTGCCGGGGTATTGTATGTATGGTGTGTGTGCCGGGGTATTGTATGTATGGTGTGTGTGCCGGGGTATTGTATGTATGGTGTGTGTGCCGGGGTATTGTATGTATGGTGTGTGTGCCGGGGTATTGTATGTATGGTGTGTGTGCCGGGGTATTGTATGTATGGTGTGTGTGCCGGGGTATTGTATGTATGGTGTGTGTGCCGGGGTATTGTATGTATGGTGTGTGTGCCGGGGTATTGTATGTATGGTGTGTGTGCCGGGGTATTGTATGTATGGTGTGTGTGCCGGGGTATTGTATGTATGGTGTGTGTCCCGGGGTATTGTATGTATGGTGTGTGTCCCGGGGTATTGTATGTATGGTGTGTGTGCCGGGGTATTGTATGTATGGTGTGTGTGCCGGGGTATTGTATGTATGGTGTGTGTGCCGGGGTATTGTATGTATGATGTATAGTGGGTATGTTGGTGTATGATACCAAAACACATGGTGAATAAATTGCGCCAAATAAGCACTTATCAACGATTAATTACCAGCTTGAGAAAGAAGAATTGCAATAAACTGGGAAGTGAGGAAAATGCGGATGAATGGGAAGATAAAACTGTAATAATGATGGCGCAAGCAAGAACATTAGATTACCATATGAATCTAGCACACATGAGGTGCAAAGTAGTTTACGAATAAGGAACAAGACAAAAACGAGAATAACCTTATCCAGTAACCAAAAAAAGAGAGAAAAACGCGTAAATAATCATTAATAATAATGTAATAAAGACTCTCTCTCTCTCTCTCTCTCTCTCTCTCTCTCTCTCTCTCTCTCTCTCTCTCTCTCTCTCTCACTCTCTCTCTCTCTCTCTCTCTCTCTCTCTCTCTCTCTCTCTCCCTCTCTCTCTCTCTCTCTCTCTCTCTCTCTCTCTCTCTCTCTCTCTCTCTCTCTCTCTCTCTCTCTCTCTCTCTCTCTCTCTCTCTCTCTCTCTCTCTCTCTCTCTCTCTCTCTCTCTCTCTCTCTCTCTCTCTCTCTCTCTCTCTCTCTCTCTCTCTCTCTCTCTCTCTCTCTCTCTCTCTCTCTCTCTCTCTCTCTCTCTCTCTCTCTCTCTCTCTCTCTCTCTCTCTCTCTCTCTCTCTCTCTCTCTCTCTCTCCCTCTCTCTCTCTCTCTCTCTCTCTCTCTCTCTCTCTCTCTCTCCTCTCTCTCTCTCTCTCTCTCTCTCTCTCTCTCTCTCCTCTCTCTCTCTCTCTCTCTCTCTCTCTCTCTCTCTCTCTCTCTCTCTCTCTCTCTCTCTCTCTCTCTCTCTCTCTCTCTCTCTCTCTCTCTCTCTCTCTCTCTCTCTCTCTCTCTCTCTCTCTCTCTCTCTCTCTCTCTCTCTCTCTCTCTCTCTCTCTCTCTCTCTCTCTCTCTCTCTCTCTCTCTCTCTCTCTCTCTCTCTCTCTCTCTCTTCTCTCTCTCTCCATCAACGTCCAGCTTAGGTCCCATTCACGTCCATTTAAGTGCCATTCACGTCTCACTCTGACACTTGGAGTAGCCAAAATATTAGAGCACTTGAAATCATTATTTGGTCCACTTTGTAATGCTTAGTGTCCATCTCGCGACTCTTTTAGGAGTTATATATAAGTTTGAAGTGGTTCTTAAATGTCAAGGTGGAGCTTGGGGCGCCGGGAGTCAGTACGGTGGCCCTCGAGGGCCATACTCAGCTACCAACATCTGGAGTAAAGAGTAGCCCAGAGGGCTTGCCTGCGGGCTGATTGTATCCATTTACTCCACAATTGGCGACCAAGATTGTGTGGAAACCCTGCGGGTTGATGTTTGTGTGTGTGTTTATGTGTGTAAGTGTGTGTGTGTTTACTATTTGTGCCTGCAGTATCCAGCTATTAGCTCTTGGACCCCGCCTTTCTAGACGATGTATTTGTCCTCTATTATGTCTACCACGTGTGTTTCTCACTAACACGTTAATACTGAATCATTTATACATGACAGTGTATTCTCTGTATACAGTTCTGTATTTTCCACAGGCGCTGTTATATTCTTTCTATTTGTTTCTGCCATCTTATCTGACAGACATCATTGGCACTGTATGACACTGTATTTTAGCTGTATTCTGGTCATATGACTTCAAGCCCGAGTTTCTGACAGCCAAACCCTGCCGGGTGCTGGGTGGCGTGAGATTGGGTTAATGAGTGAGTGAGTGGGTGGGTGTGAGAGGGGGAGTGAGTAAGACAGCATATCAGTGGGTCTAGGTCGAGGGAGATGAGTCCCCCTCGCAGCTGTCGTCTGCTGCATCTCAAGGCTGAGGGCAGCTGCCCCCCAGCCTGTGTCACAGGTAGGTCCCCTCCTCCCCCCTCCCCCTCCCCCCCTCTCTCACCTTGACCAGTGACCTGGTTTCCCCCCCCCCCCCCTCACACCTCCCTCCCTCCCTTCTCCCACCTTTTTTTACCCATGATCTAAAGACAATCATTTCCTCGGTTCTTGAAACTCTTTGTTTGTGCTGTTTTGTGCTCGTTGTCCCTTGTTGTATCTGAAGACTTGTGAATATGCTGATGAGAACCATCTCTACCTCACCTGGATCCCTCTCTCTCTCTCTCTCTCTCTCTCTCTCTCTCTCTCTCTCTCTCTCTCTCTCTCTCTCTCTCTCTCTCTGTCTCTGTCTCTGTCTCTCTCTCTCTCTCTCTCTCTCTCTCTCTCTCTCTCTCTCTCTCTCTCTCTCTCTCTCTCTCCCTTTCCTTCATATATCTGTCCCTGGCCCTCCCTGCGCCCCCCTCGCCTCTCTGCACTTGGCCTGCGCGAGGGGCCCGGCGCCCCCTCGCCCACCTCCACACATACCTCCCACCTCAAGCCTCGTCCCGTTTTTATGCTAGACTTTCCCACCAGCGGCTCAAGTCCCGCCTGCCTCCTCTTCCCCCGGTGGATGAATGGACAGAACACTAGATGAACAAATATATTTATGACTGTCCAATCCACACACTAGAAAGTGAAGGGACGACGACGTTTCGGTCCGTCCTGGACCATTCTCAAGTCGATTGTGACTTGACGATTGATATTGTGATTCATCGCCTGCATATTTAATTGTGTCTTTGTAAGATGTATTGCCCAGTTTCTAGTGGTATATAAGGTCTCGGGCAGCGACCCGGCTTTTATAGGCCTATACAGCCTTACTTACTGCCTGGACGTGAGGTCTGGCGTCTGGATAGTTAAGACGATGGGTGTCTCACGCTCCAACACCGTAATCTGGTTGGTTAATCTAAGGCCCAGGCTACAAAAATGCCGTCCAGCAGAAGCTAGACAGTTCTGGGACAGATCTGGAAGGTAGAGAGATTGCTACAAGATGAATTGAATAGTCGAGTGAGTATGCAGATGATTGGCCTGGTGGATAGACCCACAAACTGATGGATAAGGTATATCGTGATCAAAGTATGAGTGTATAAATGTATATATACAACGGTGATAAAGTGGTTTCAACTTGAAAAAAATGGCCTCATGACAATGGAGGGACTACTAACAAGCCACCGGCTTTCCGTCCCCGTCGCGGCCACTAGATATATGTTGGCCCCCTCAGGTAAATTCAGGTAAATATCTATGAAAATATATAATGATGGAGGTGTCCGTGTACATGTGCCCACCTGCATGTGAGCACCTTTGTACTAGTTCATTCACTCGTACCATCGGTGCCTTGAACCACGGACCTAACAAACAGCAGATCGGTTGAGCTGTTGCTGGTCTGGGGCTCACGGCTCCCAGTGACTAAGTGAATGAAATGTTATTATCCACGATATATATATATATATATATATATATATATATATATATATATATATATATATATATATATATATATATATATATATATATATATATTGTGACGGTAAAGCGTTGGTGTTCGGCTGTTTCAAAAGCTAGGGGCAGGGCCTCGTCACATAATAGAAAAAAAAGAGAAAAGCTGGAGCTTTCGTCTGTGGTAAGGTAATGGGAAGACACACAAAACACAGGTAAATTAACAATGAAATTTTAATTACTTTAGAAAAACAAGACATGAATAAAGTTAAGCACATAAAAATATGAAAGACAAGTCAACAAACAAAATAATATGAATAATCACTGGCAAATGAAAAGTTACGTTAAGACAAGTGGGTTACAGTGATAGCAAAATAAAATATTAGTGATGCTGGAATATTGGCTTCGAGCTGCCACCTCCCTTAGTACACGAAAGCCAAGGCTTAGTCTACCAGCGAGAGATGTCAACTGCTTGGAGCACTGAGATATTCTGACGATATTAGCGCACTGCAGCCCAGACGTCAACTTGTGGCGGAGGCGGAGGGCAGGTGCGACGGGACACCAGCCAATCAGCGACAGGCAGGCAAAGCATGAGCAGTTTGCTGGTTACGGCGGTGGTAGGTAGCAGGTGTCATTGTGTGCTGGGTACGATTTGCTCTCTGGGCAAAACGTTTGGCGATACTTGGTGGTCGTATCTTCTATATTATCTTATATATTGACGTACTTTGTAGGGAAGAGCAGGCTCAATCTCTCTTGAAAGAGATTATCGTCACATATATATATATATATATATATATATATATATATATATATATATATATATATATATATATATATATGTATGTATATATATACATATATATATATATATATATATATATATATATATATACATATATATGTATATATATATACATATATATATGTGTATATATATATATGTATATATATATATATATATATATATATATATATATATATATATATATATGTAATTTATATTCAGAAGTGCTTGTATAGTTTGTGTATGCTTGAGGGTATGTATGTGTATAGTCTCTCTCTCTCTCTCTCTTCGCATTTAAGCGGATAGTTTAGCAACTCTAACAAAGTCTATTAAATCCCTGTAAAGTCTCAAGGCCAGAGAGTGCAGTCTGGCGAGCCTTCCGCCCTGCTTTGGTTCACCTGAACACATTAACTGAACACTTTGGTTCATCTGAACACATTAACTGAACACTTTGGTTCATCTGAACACTTTGGCTTGAACAACTGATTCGTGGTCATCACCACTGGGGGGGGGGGGAAGGGAACGCTTTCCTTATATACAGGATTTTTTGTATTTAAATAAAATATGTAATAAAATATATTTTATTTGAGTGTTGAATGGGGAATGTATATTTGATACTTGGTGAAAGAAAGTGTTATAAGCGATTCCTCAGTGAGAATTACATTCAAGTCGTCTCAATTTACATTTTGAAATCTGAGATTTTCCCGCCAATTTTCCTTACAAAACATAAACATTGCGTTCATTCGTCAGCTGTTGCTCTTTTTAAGTTAAAACTTCCGTGGAAAATTGTGTGAAAAATTTGGTAAGCCCCCCGAAAATATAATTTTATTTTGAAAATTTTTGTAATAGTTTATTGATGTTTATTCATTAATGACAATCTTTGGTGATTCAGTGACCATATAGACATACATGGTACCGCAGTTAAGGTGTCAATGTCATTCACTCAGTCGGGTGAAGAGTTCAGCGTGGACAGTAACTGGCTGGGTAACCGGCTTTGACTAAAAAAAGACCACGATTGGCTTATGTACAGGTTTCCTGTACCCGATCATGGTAGCCTAATTTAGTTTTCTATATATGCCCGAGAGTGGGAAGCCAGGTAAGCCGGTTGGCAAGGGCCTATATGATTTTGAAGAGGCCTACGTGAACAATATGGCTTGCCATTACCTTTCAATAAATCATTCTAGTGTTTATATTCTGATATGTTACTTGTCAGTACATCATATATATCTACACGTATACATATATATACACTTGTAGATGAAGCATATGCATTTAGCATTCATTATAAAAATAATGAATAGCTCGAAATGGGGCCCTGGGCCTCTCATCAACTGTGCATGTTGCTGCATTTGCAGGCATACAGACATGCAACATCTAAATATTGGCTTATTCCAACAAGAGAGAGAGGAGGAAGGTTGAGGGAATATGATATGAAAAGGAATTAAGTCAGTGGGAATGAAGGTGAATGCAAGAAGTAAGGAATGATAAGATAAGTGGAAACAAGGAAGAACAGAGTACATCGAGGATGGGGGAGTCAGCACCCGACGGGCCATCACCCCTTCCCTCCCTATCTCCCTCTCTCCCTCCCTCCCTCTCTCCATCCCTTCCTCTCTCTCTCCCACAGTTCCTCACCCTCCCTCCCTCACTGGCTATAAATACCACCGCAGACCGCCCACCTGAGCCAACACTGGTATTTCCGGCAACACCAGCCCTAACCTCGGCTTTGTCCACCCCCAGTCCTGGTGGCTTTGTCCACCCCCAGTCCTGGTGGCTTTGTCCACCCCCAGTCCTGGTGGCTTTGTCCACCCCCAGTCCTGGTGGCTTTGTCCACCCCCAGTCCTGGTGGCTTTGTCCACCCCCAGTCCTGGTGGCTTTGTCCACCCCCAGTCCTGGTGGCTTTGTCCACCCCGATCTTGGTGGCTTTGTCCACCCCCGGTCTTGGTGGCTTTGTCCACCCCCAGTCCTGGTGGCTTTGTCCACCCCGGTCTTGGTGGCTTTGTCCACCCCGATCTTGGTGGCTTTGTCCACCCCCGGTCTTGGTGGCTTTGTCCACCCCCAGTCCTGGTGGCTTTGTCCACCCCGGTCTTGGTGGCTTTGTCCACCCCCAGTCCTGGTGGCTTTGTCCACCCCGGTCTTGGTGGCTTTGTCCACCCCCGGTCTTGGTGGCTTTGTCCACCCCCAGTCCTGGTGGCTTTGTCCACCCCGGTCTTGGTGGCTTTGTCCACCCCCGGTCTTGGTGGCTTTGTCCACCCCCAGTCCTGGTGGCTTTGTCCACCCCGGTCTTGGTGGCTTTGTCCACCCCCAGTCCTGGTGGCTTTGTCCACCACCAGTCCTGGTGGCTTTGTCCACCCCCAGTCCTGGTGGCTTTGTCCACCCCGGTCTTGGTGGCTTTGTCCACCCCCGGTCTTGGTGGCTTTGTCCACCCCCAGTCCTGGTGGCTTTGTCCACCACCAGTCCTGGTGGCTTTGTCCACCCCCAGTCCTGGTGGCTTTGTCCACCCCCAGTCCTGGTGGCTTTGTCCACCCCCAGTCCTGGTGGCTTTGTCCACCCCCAGTCCTGGTGGCTTTGTCCACCCCCAGTCCTGGTGGCTTTGTCCACCCCCAGTCCTGGTGGCTTTGTCCACCACCAGTCCTGGTGGCTTTGTCCACCCCCAGTCCTGGTGGCTTTGTCCACCCCCAGTCCTGGTGGCTTTGTCCACCCCCAGTCCTGGTGGCTTTGTCCACCCCCAGTCCTGGTGGCTTTGTCCACCCCCAGTCCTGGTGGCTTTGTCCACCCCCAGTCCTGGTGGCTTTGTCCACCACCAGTCCTGGTGGCTTTGTCCACCACCAGTCCTGGTGGCTTTGTCCACCCCCAGTCCTGGTGGCTTTGTCCACCCCCAGTCCTGGTGGCTTTGTCCACCCTCCAGTCCTTGTGGCTTTGTCCACCCTCCAGTCCTTGTGGCTTTGTCCACCCTCCAGTCCTTGTGGCTTTGTCCACCCCCAGTCCTTGTGGCTTTGTCCACCCCCAGTCCTGGTGGCTTTGTCCACCCTCAGTCCTGGTGGCTTTGTCCACCCCCAGTCCTGTCCACCCCCCAGTCCTGGTGGCTTTATCCACCACCAATCCTGGTGGCTTTGTCCACCCCCAATCCTGGTGGCTTTGTCCACCACCAATCCTGGTGACTTTGTCCACCCCCAGTTCTGGTGGCTTTGTCCACCACCAATCCTGGTGGCTTTGTCCACCACCAATCCTGGTGGCTTTGTCCACCACCAATCCTGGTGGCTTTGTCCACCCCTAGCCAGCTAGTACAGCCCAAAGCCACCCACGTACTACAAATACAAATAATCGCCAACAGAACCTAAACACCTAACCTAACCTAACCTAATCTATGCCTATATATATGCACAATGTGCTAATATAATATAATATTAATTTATATTTGAGAAAATTCCCGTTTTGAATGAACAGCATGTACAAATTTATGAATGCGTCTGTGGGGTCGACCGCTGGATGGAATGGACTGGAGTCGAGGATGGGTTGTGTGCAAACCGTTTTTCATTCATAAACAGGGGGTTTTGGCGGGTGCATGGAATCAGTTTTGGATCTTTGGAGGACGAGGTGTCCTCAGAGATCGATAATGAAGCAGTGTTCTAGAAATGCTCGAACATCATCAGTTCTGAGTCGGCGTGTAAAGCTGTTTTTCCGTTCATAAACAGAGGTAAATACTGGCTAGATTACCCAGCATTTAGCCACACGTTATGAGGTCGGGCTTAACACCAGACGGATTATAATTAATATAATCCAGTTTTGTCCATCTATAAATATAAGATTGTTAATGTGATAATACAAGTAACAGCACGCGTATTAATATTTGACGCTCCGAACATGGGAACCCGTGACCAACTATTACAGCTCCGGGACCGGCCATTTGCCTGGTCGGGACGGACAGTGATGGATAGACTCTGGAACGGGGCGGTCGTTGACTCCGTGTGACTGTTGCACACGCGGTCACTAATATGAGAGAGGAGACACTGCACACTGGCCCAATCACCACCAGTACCCCCATGTTGGGTGCTGCCAGTCCACCGTGCACACCGGCCGTCCGCACCCACGTGTCAACAACAATATGACACGCTCGTCTGAGACTGAAGATTTGAGCTCACCCTGGGGCTGATATTAGAGCAATGTGAAACGAGTGGCCTAGTGCATAGTGAACAACATGGGGTGTGAGAACCTGTCGTGGGCAACATCACACAAGCCAATAAGCGTGCCAGGACCATAGCCAGCACCAGTACAGGTTAGTGGTAGTTATAGACCAGTATAGTAGTCCAACAGTCAGCCAGGTTAAACCCGTTCATGGCCCTTTTCGACACCTGGAAAACCAAACTATATGCACTGTTTCAGTTAATGTTTCCATTGACTTGAAGTCATTCGACGAGGACAAGTCTTATGTCTGGCTTGGGGCTGGACGCTTACTTAAACGTCCAGCCCCAAGAACTGGAAGTCCTTCATAGAGTCCTCGGCGCACTTGCCCATGTGTCGAATCTTGGATTGTTAGCAGACTTAAAAGCTTCCCCTTCCCATAGGTCATAAGCCTTACCCTCTATTGGTCCCCCCTCCCCTCCTGGAACCCGCTCTTCCAGACTGTTAACCAGGTTCTCAATTGCTGCTGGGTGAACAGGGGGCGAACAGTTAAGGAATGGTGCCCAGTCAATCCTGTTTACAAGTTATGTTGCAGGAGGTCAATGTAGTATCACCGGAGGAACCATAGTAATGCCTGAATTCACCTGAGGGCCGCTCGCTAGTAACTTCGACTAGGAAATTTGAATTTTTGAATTTGAAGACAAAGCCAGCGGGTTGTCAAATTAGGATTTTGTATTTCTGCAATATTTTGTCACTAATAAGGGGTTGGGCGGGTAGGTAAGTTAGAGGTTAAGGTGGGAGGTAACAGGCAAGGTTGGAATAGGTCGGGATCGAAAAATAAGTTAATGGTTAAAGAGTTTATAAAACTACATTTGTGAATGGGGTTGAGCCCGCGAAGTGACCTCTGATGGGCGGAGTGTAGTCAACGCCTGACGTGCGCGCCGGTGCTCTTTACATGGTATTTTAATAAAGGCAGAAGGCAATTTACCCATCGTTCTTGCCCTGGTATTTTTTCAACATTTATCGTGTGTGTGTATGTTCGGGGGGGGAGGAGAGGGGGTTCATACACATGAGGCGTTCATTTGTCAATATCCTACTGAGCAACGGGCAAGTATACTTGCGTCCTGAACTCCAGCAATAAAGTATGTTGTATTTACACAGACGTAATACACCTCTCGGTGTATGTATCCCGTGTAACGGTATTTTAATAGAGTACATTCTTACTTAAATACCAGGAAGCAACATCTGGCAACAATAACGCGATCCACGCATCACTGGTATTCTTGAAGCACCTTCCAGTCCTTATATATCGTAAAAAAATATAAATAATCTGGAGTTTCAGACGATCTATACGTCACTAGACACTGTGCCAAATATTCTAGACATGTAAACACAAATATTGAGGTTAGTGGCCCTGCTGGTGTCTTCAGCGGGCCGATAAATCTTGCAAGCCACAGGAGGCGACGACGAGCGAGGTCCGGCCCTCTCGTTCACCAAGCCGCGACACCAACATTTATAATGACTGTGTATAATTACCTGAATTAGCCTGGTCACCATCTGTAGGGGCGTCGACGAGATAGGAAGCCGGCGGTTTGTCAAAGGTCTCGCCTAATTACTCGTGAGGAATTTTTCCGGTTGGATTTTGGAACCGAAATGTTGTGTTGGCATTTTACGGCTTCGGCGGGTAGGCGGTTCCGTGGGTTTATCACCGTGTGGGTGAAAGCATCTGTTCTGTCCTACATTGTGTGAGAGCAGACTTACATAGGCCAAATACAATAACAAGATGTCTGTACAATGCTGTTGCTGCATCCTTGAGTAACCATGGTAAGATTTTGTCAGCCTTCGTGTATTCTGGCTTTGTACACGAATTCTTAGGAAAGATCTGGTTCAAGGTTTGAACCTTCATTATTTGTTCCTTTCCTGTGCCCCCCCCCCCCCCCATACCCGTCCCGTGAGCGGTGGAGGTTGTTACACAGGCACATAATGAACTCTGGCTTTGGACCCCAAATTCATTTTAGCTAATTTAGTTAAAATTTGATAAATTAATTACAAATGAATGTATATATCAATAGTCGTTTTGATAATACAAATGGTTCAAGAACTGTACGAAAGAGGCTCTAAAGCGAGAAGTATACACACGTGTGCTCAGCAAGTAAGATAAATATAGCCATTTAAATATAATAATTTTCCTAATGCTTCCCGCGCCCAAGATTACAAACACCAGCTTGCACAACCTACAGTAAGCAAACTTTGAATACTTGGTTAATATTTCCGGGGGTACATCATTTTGTGTGAAATGCTTTATTTCTTGGACGTTTGTAATAGCAAAATTTCTAAATTCAGACATTTTTCACATTCAGTTGCATAGTGAAGCTTTTATAATGAGTACTTCACACACTTTCAATACAACAATACAATTTTATTTAGGTAAGGTACATACATACAATAAATATTTACAAGGATTGTTTGACTTATAGGTAGAGCTAGTACATACAATGCCTAAAGCCACTATTACGCAAAGCGTTTCGGGCATTTCTTATCATTCTGTGTGTTCTTTCGTTTAACCTGATTACTTTGTATATGTATATACTCAATTAGTTGTGATTGCACGGTATAGGTTAAGTAATAATTGTAATTAAGAAGCAATAAGATTCTTATCTTAACATACTAAGAAGGTTAGGTGAGGTCGGTGTTTTCTATGAAGCTTTTCAAGGTAAACTAAAATATTCACAATCAATTAGTATGTCTCACATGCACTTATTAAATAAGCCAATATTGACTATAAGCAAGTGCGAGAACGCGTTGCACAACGTGTGTGTGTGTGTGTGTGTGTGTGTGTGTGTGTGTGTGTGTGTGTGTGTGTGTGTGTGTGTGTGTGTGTGTGTGTGTGTGTGTGTGTATGTATGTGTATTGTTGTGGAAGAGCGTGTATGTATATACGTCAGAAGTAATTGCGGACACGAAGCGGATGGCTGGTGGATTAGACCTTCACACAGACGCGGAGAAAATCTCTAGAGGTAAGAAAGTGCTGCTACTTTAATACCAAAACAAACAAAAAACGATAATGATGCATTATGGTTAGAGTTGAAAAGTGCTGTGAAGATTTCCTTCTAGCGCATCTTTCGCCAGATGCTCACGTTAAGGTTCGTAAGGCCACTCCTTCGAACCCTCATTGTAGATCTGTGTATAATTTTTTGACATATAGACTAACTTATTTTCTAATAAAATACGAATTTATTGTTTGAAATCACGTGTATATGTTTAGAGTCTGCTTCTACTTCTTTTAATTAAATTTTTGGTAACTGTAAACTATTTTGAAGCTCTTTATAATTATTGAGACTGCAGCTAGACCCGCGTTTCAATACTCTTCAAGGTGTCTTTGTGTAATTAAAGGTTTAGGACCAAGCTTGGCCCCAAAACGAAGCTTGGAAGGTCTTCTAAACACTTCTCTGAACACTGGCGGTGCTGGTGGACAAGAGGCGTGGCCCTTTAGACAAGTTGGGATTGGAGATCGGAAGAACGACGCTTTCTGGTATGATTCAGTTAATACGTTTAGACGCTAATTGGACTATAAATGTGATTCCATGTCCTGTTTAGTGTTCTTGCTGTTCAAAGTTGCTGGCTGTGCTGGCGTGGCTGGCTGTGCTGGCTGAGCTGGCTGAGCTGGCGTGGCTGGCTGTGCTGGCGTGGCTGTGCTCGTGTCGCTGCGTCTCGTCCCCAGACCACCTGATTGATCCAACAGTCTTATTATCCAATAAGACTGTGCAGCACCAACCAGCCGGGAGTCTGTAATACCGACATTCCTCTCTGCTTCGGTCAATGATATCAGCGGTAATAATAGTTACCAATAAACCTGGAGAGACAACAGACTCCGTGGCACCCTACTGCCACCTTAATTACTGCTCCCCCCCCTCCTTGGCACCTCCGAGGAGCCTCGCTGGCCCTCTTCACTTCACCACCACAACTCTCTGTTGGCACATTGCTGGCCTCCACTTTGTACCTGGCTGTCCTCTCTCTTCCCCCTCCACTTTGTACCTGGTTGTCCTCTTTCTTTCTTCCTCTCCTCTTGTACTTATCTGGCTGTCCTCTCCACCGTGCTGGTGGGTGAGGCAGAGGGGGTGGGTGGGTGAGAGGACGCTGCTACCAATAACGGCAAATAATAACGATGAGGTTATTAATAATTGTATTGTAGAAAAGTTTTCATGTACAGGGAAACTTACCTGGGGGGAAAGAGTAATAGGGATATGATGTTTATTCTTGTATACTTGCTGTACTGCGCGTGTACAGATAACCAGAGGGTATAGGAATACGGGGCAGGGAATGAGGTAGGCGTAGCAGGGAGGGGGAGGGTGAGGAGAGGAGGTAGGGACAGGGGAGAGGGGTAGGAGTAGGGGAGGGGTTGAGGAAGGTTTCCAGTGCTTGAGCGACACACAAGTTATCATGAGGAGGAGAACGGGGATAATGGAGGGGGAGAATGGTGGGGGGGGTGACGGGGAGGGGGAATGGGGGGGGGAAGGAGAGGGGGGAATGGTGGGGGGACGGGAGGACCGGGGGGGGGGGGGAGGAAGGTTGCTGTGGTTCAGCAACGCCCACACGTTGCTGAACCACAGCAACGCATGGCCGCGTACAGCTAGTTAATAGGATTGGATTCTGTGGATTGCCAGTACCTGTATTACCCATTGTCAGACCTACCTCACTTGGACAAATTAAATGTCAAGGTAAATCCATTACAACAAATTATTTTTAATGAAACGATGGTTTTATTGAATTATCACCCAATAACTTTAAATTGCATTCTAAAAGGTGGTACAAAATTTGTCTGGAATATTGCTTTCATGTATCAGTTTCAATACTTGATCAGAAAAAAATAAAATTATGAACTTTGCAATTCACAAGGTGAATTAAACACAATTCAAGATTTACTCTTGAAGGGGATTGAAATGCTGTTTAAATATGCCAACGTTAGCTACACATTCAAATGTCTTTTAGTTTACATTTTTATTTTATCTTATTGACACTTGCCAGTTTGACTCGGTTATTGTATGATTAAACTGCAAAATAAGAAAACAAAACACTATATACAGGTGTTATGTCTAGGCATACAGGTACAGTACTACGCTGTGTAAATGCACCGCTGTACACACAAACAAAGCTGCTTTACAAACTTTACTATTTTTTTTTTTTTTTTTTTTTTTTTTTTTTTTTTTTTTTTTAAGATACTCGCCCGGCACTTCGTGAAAGCTTTGGCCTGGGTTTGTATCCGAGGGAGGATTGACTGGAGCCTCTGTTCACCCAGCAGTGAATGGGGGTACCTGGTTGTTAAATGGTTTGTCGAGTCGTATTCCGGGGAAAATTAGGATTAGGGAATTGCCTGAAATGCTATGAGCGCTAGTGGCTTTACAAGAATGTAAGAACTCTTGTAAGACTCTGTATATATATTATATAAAAAAAAAACCTGTCACAGCCACCACCCAGATAATCCATAATACCCATAAGGTAACATGCCACTATTCCCTTTGTAACTTCTCTCGTCTCCTCTCTCAGTACTTCATTGTAAAGTGTACTTGCCCATCTTGCCACCTGTAATAAAGGCTAATACTTCCATTCATAAATTCTGGCCCACAGTATTCATCTCCAAATGTCTCTTTCTCAGAAATCAAATTTTCTTTAATTTATTATTACCCTCATGAAAGGAGTGATTTCTTAATAGACTTGCCACTTGCTTTTACAACTCTTGGCTTTGTTTGAATTCATTAATACGCATTTCATTTTGTCGGGGACCAGCAGCCTATGTATGTAATACTGTATATAATATATATGTATATATTAATTATGCATACACACACACGTTAGGATTATATTAAAGCCCCTCTCCAACCCCCAAAGTCGAACCACTGGCCCTTCTCAGGATGCAAGCCCACAAACTGACTCGCTCCTGGGTACCTATTTACTGCTAGGTGAACAAAGGCATTAGGTAATAGGAAACATGCTCGTCCATTTGTCTCTCCTGGGATATAAACCTGGAATTCCTGGTTGCGATTAGAGTATGAGCCCAACTGTACTTGTCATTAAAATCTATTACATTATTTCTCAATCTTGTTTTCCTTATTCATTTCAAGTGCTAATATCCCTCTGAATCACATGTTTCTCTCATCCTAGCAATAATGCCCCAAATAAGACTTCTGGGAAGAATCGGTGAGCATGTGCTTGAACAATGTACAGACAAGAGTGATGCAGAAATAAGAGAATCTACAGAACAGTATATAACTTTTTTTTAATTGTATAAACATGGAAAACATTAACCTAAGATTTTATTGAAAATGTCTGCCAACTAATAGTGTAGCTTTATAGTAATAAACAATTACAATATTCAGATATATCACAATTAAGTTTCACAAATGCATGAAAATATAACAAATAAATAACTAAATAAATGTTGCAATATATACCGTTTCACATTTAACAATATTTGTGCTTTTGTTAGTTTTATTACAGTGGTGATAGCTATTTTTTAAATCAAATAAACTACAGTACTGTATAAAAATCTAATGTTCATATTTGTATTAATACAGTATTTTGCTGAAGATTACATTTGTTAAATACAGGTGTACTGCCATTAGCAAGTACAGTATACTGTATATCAAATAAATTTTGTTGTATTTTCAATTTTTATACAGATTCATATATAAGCAGACATATAAGCATGAAATGTGACTATAAATGTGTTTATGAATTATTCTGTAATTTAAAATTTTAGGTGAGTAAAGTATGCAAAAATGAATTTTAATTTGTAGACATGTATACTGTATTCAGTATTTTTTATTTTTTAATAATACTTATTTAACACCATTAAATATGCTTTGTAAATAATTTAATCATATGTAAAGCCTGATTACATAAAAATCTCTCAAATCAGTTAAGCTCTCTTATAGTCCAATACGCTCCTTATCCTTGCTCATGAATAAGGATTCTTGGATTCATCCACTTTCACGTGTTCGTGGAGATACTTTTTCCAAATTCTCTCGTCAGCAATGGAAAAAATAAGTGCAATGGATGACTAAATATAAAGTAGATCAGTATGAAGAGATTAAAACTGTATACCAACATAGAAAATTAAGTAATGCTACGAGGACACTATAAAAAAAGAGAATCATGGACAATTGGGAACATCACATCATACATATTACGTCTGTTGGTGCAATTAGAACAGGGAAGGGAGAAAGGGAAAAAGCCTAATCATTCCCTACAACATCCTCACTAGGTGTACCCATTAACAAAAATCAAAACATTCGCTCAGTTTAAATGGACTTGTGTGTGAATTCAGAGAATGCAAATTCACGCGTATAATTGTTTCTAATGTCAAAACCAAAACTGATTAATAAAAGGCTAATGCAACCAAAAAGTTCCGATCCAAGAGTCCTCAATTTCCAACTTAATACACTTTACGATTACTCTCTTGTATCATGGCAGCTTTCAAATGTTCTGCAATTCATAATGTACTGGATAGATGGCTGGATTAGGGTAAGAGAATTACCTGGCAAGTAAAAATATTCAGGTAAATATTTTATGGAGAATAGTGGAAGTGTGTGGGGCTGCTAATTCACTCTGCATGAGGTTCTCCAAGAATGCATACCTCAAGTAAATTGAATATATTAAGCTACGTCACAATTATTACACAGCCAATGTCATTTAGATAATACATCATTACATGATAACTACCCAATTTCCACTGTTCTTGGGGTAGGAAGGCATCAAATCAATCCATAGGAAATATAAAATATTCATGTTGCAATATGAAAAAAGCATTTAAGGTATTTAAAGTATCCAGCCAATTTTGCATACAACACATCATAATGTAGCCTCAACACTAGTAAATTATCTGCAGTAGTGTACCCAACCACTTGTACAACTACATCCTTTGAAACGCTACATTTTCAATGCTTGAGGTAATAGTGTTTAAGCAGACAGTTGTGAGACGCTTGCAAAGCCTCATCTTTTAGCCACAGGAATAGAAGACAGGTTTAAGTAACATACAGGATGTGATCCTGCCGGGGCACATAGCCTATCCACCCTGATTTAATGCTTCTTGTCTGGGAGTTGAGCAAAGGTTCGTGTACCTCTAACCACTGACTACACAAACTGTGTGTACATATCACCAATGACCTCATGCCATGAAAAAGTCATATTCACTCATGCGAATCATGAAAACTGATTACAAAATTTATGAAAATTCATACAGATGACCTCAGAAAATTCAAATGTAAATTATATCCTGCTGTTGTTCTCGTACTACAATATTAACTGAAATGACTATAAATTCAAGGCAAATGTAAGCCTGCCTGTATCTTCAGGAATGGTAGCATTATCAAGCTTATGTGCCAGTGACCAGTAATGTAATCGCATCAAATGGCCGGCCATTTTGGGCTGTCGAGCTCTTGTGAAGAGGCCCTTCATGCAAGCACCAGGCCGGTTGTATTCTGGAAGGAGTCAGGTATAAGAGTTAACAGTTGATCGTCATAATTAATTATAGACTTGATCAATTAAATACAAGGGTTTTATCAGTGTTAAACGGTAATATAGTCCCAAATATCTATTAATCATTAAAATACAACAAAATGTTTAATATTAGATGCTGTTAACTCGTCTCACTCCTGTGTCATTATAGCCATTTTGTGCTGTTTAGCAGTTCATCATACTGTACAAAAAGTCTTAAGGTGAATAATTTGAAACTATTTCACTGAATTAGGTTAACTTAGATAAAAATAATAATTTTCCTAAAATTTTCTTGTCCAGTTTTTAACCTGGTATTTGCCACACAGGACCAGCAAGCCTGTGTGACATAGAATACATAAATATTCATACTTTATATTTTGCAAGAATATGTAAACCAGGTTGCACATCACCACCATAGTAATATAATATACATCTGAAGGAGCAGTTTATCCAAGTTTGCACTCTGCATTGGAAATAGACTTTGCACAAGTGTGTCCTTAAAGCCAATTCAGTACAGTATACTCTAAATAGGCACAGAGACATCGGATAGAATAAAAAAACTAGTCGGTGTAGAGAGTAGACATACCCATAGCTGGGTACTCAGAATTATTAAGAAATGACTGCAACAGCTCTGTTACATGACCAGTGTGTTCAGATGAGTTTAATCATGTATGGCTGTGCAAATTTCTATAGCTTCATTATACAATTTAGTTTATCCTTTGAATTGTTCTTATTCAAATTTTGATACATTATATGTTTTGCCAATGTAAGTTTCATGGCTCTAATAACATGCTATATGTTTTTTCTTTTTACAGCTGTAAAAGCTGTAATTAATCAATTAGCAGACTGAAGACAAGCCTCATTTTAGAAATTGGAGTTGGTAGTGGAAGAAGAGGCTCATCACCTGCACTTGGCTGCTAGGCCCCACTGTAACTGATTGTGTGGAAGTGTGCATATTAATCTGTGATGTTATACAGCATAAATGGTATAATGAATAGATAGGTAATGTTTAATTGTTTTTATTTAAACCTTTCACTATATTCACTCCCCCACCCCCTCCCCATCAGGTTGATGCATCCTAACCACATGAAAGTGGAATAGAGGTTATCTTGAGGTTATCTTGAGGTTATCTTGAGATGATTTCGGGGCTTTAGTGTCCCCGCGGCCCGGTCCTCGACCAGGCCTCCACCCCCAGGAAGCAGCCCGTGACAGCTGACTAACACCCAGGTACCTATTTTACTGCTAGGTAACAGAGGCATAGGGTGAAAGAAACTCTGCCCAATGTTTCTCGCCGGCGCCTGGGATCGAACCCAGGACCACAGGATCACAAGCCCAGCGTGCTGTCCGCTCGGCCGACCGGCTCCCTAAGGTGTATTAACTGAAATATTGTAGTGGAATATTGTATATTGATCCAATAACCCATCGAGTATTGGGTAACGTCAGATATAAGGTGTTCGGAATCGTGGTACAGATGGAATGAAAAGGGAATTTTCTATCTAGAAATTTAGTAAATATGCCTCAAATTTTTTTGTTTACAGTACCTCATTTGAATTCTTGGTTGAAAACTGAAATAAAGCTGCCACAGCAAAAGGGTTTAATAGATAGTGTCATGTGATTAAGGTTTAAACAAAAGGTACGTAATAATTTTTAATACGTATCACCCTACACCAGATATATTGTAATACAAATATCAAACGACAGAGGACAAGATTTTCTCATGCCTAGTTAAACCTAAATAAGCCTCGCAGGCTTCTTGTCCACATCAGTGGGAAACTGAAACAAAGCAACAGTGCTGTGTGAGTGTAGCCCATGGGAAAAAAAAAAACACACGATAGAAAATAGAACCCATGTACATGTCATGATATAGCTTCCATTGGCAACCAAAGTCTACAAGCCTAAGGCATTATTTTTTTAATAAGTGCCAACAAAGGATTCTGCATATGAAGTGTAGAGCTTCCAGAGGCAACAAATCGTCAAATATTTCAAGATAAAATTATATTTACAAAGTTTTGTGGTCAACTATGCAGTAGAGCAAGTGATCATATTGTGCTTGTAAAATGCCAGCAAATACTATCGCAACCTTGTTTGTGTGACTGAAGGTCACACAAACTATTCATTTGATATTGCAAACTAACTTGTCTTTAAACTATTTTGCAATAGGCTTGGAAAGCTATACCATTAAAAGATGTCTACAGTTTACAGTTTATGATTAACTCGGTGTACCCCTGCATACCACCACCAGAAAATAAGCATCATCAACCAAAGGTATATCCCTCATTTGTTTAAATAGGAAAAAAGCCACCCAGTAATTAAAATGGATGAATTAAGCTACTATGCAAAACTAGAAAGTCTAATTATTCCTGTAATGAAGTAATAACGTTTTTTCATTCATATTAAACAAACCTAGAAGCTCCAGCTGAAGAGAGTTAAGCCAATCCACTGAACACAATTGTAGAAGCTAAGGAGTTAAGCTGGTCGTGCACGGTGGTGGTGGCAGTAACATTCAGCTACTGAAGACGGCTTACCTTAATTACCCCTTCTCTACCACTTGAGCAAATATTTAGGAATGCTGTACTACTACAGTACTCCAATTTTCTTCAGTTTAAACCCTGAAAATACTTTTGTAGATAAAGAAAATCTAAATCTAAATTATTTTAATTTCAACAACCACAAAATTTTGACTAACAAAATGCTAATTCATTTGAACTGGAGAATCAGGAACATTAATTTCTTTGCATAAATGCCATTCATATCAAACCATGTAATTTAAATACCTAAAAGTATTTTTAATTATCTTCAATTATAAAATATTTTTCAAATTAAATTTACGAGAGAAAAGTGCAGATATTAAAACTTTCAGCAATTATTTAAATACAAAAAAATTCTGATCGCAATGTAACATGCACTTCCCTATAAAAAATATTGGTCGTTTTGTCTTTAAAAATAATCGGCATTAAACATTAAATTTCCCAAAACAATGAGGTTCTTCATCGTCGGACAACGGCACTTCGGCAAGTTTTTGGTAACGGTAACGGAGGACATGCGCTGCCAGTTTGGGTTGGCGATCGCGGGTGAATATTCCTTTCTTGTTTCCCACCACACGTATGATGCCTACGGTGTCAAAAATAAGCTTTCAATAGCTTTTCAAATAATTATAACATTTTATATCATATCAAACATTGATAATCAATTCACACTACAAAGACTCGAGGGAATTTTTTAAAGCTTGTACTATACGGAAATGGAAGAACGCAACAAAAATCATTTAAGTTTTCTTAATAAAATGTATTGGCTGCTCCTCCATTGCTTCAATTTTAATAAGATGTATTTCTTTAAATGAGACTACTTACATAAAGTTTACAAATCCTGGAAGAGAGAACATATTCAGCCTCTCCTTTCAGAAGATGCACCAAGCCTCTGGCCAGCTGTGAGTACTCAGTATTCACACTTACCCTGTGGAGTAGCAAAGTCAGCAAAGTTCCAGATCATCTCCCCAATGAAGAACCCTTTGCTGCGTAGCTCATCGAATGCTTCAAAGTTTTGGATCATCAGCTCGGCCTGATACTCTTCGGACCATGTGAATGCTGGATCCTAAGAGGCAAAAGTAGAAGTAGTAGATCTTGTAGTATGATCCAAAAGAATTTTACAATGCTGACAATAAAATAAAGATTCTCTATCTTTGATAGGGAAATGATGCTTTGGGATACTTACACAGGTCTAAACACAACCATTTATGAATTTTAATTAAAAAAATAACTAACGTGCAAAACGGATATAAATAATACATGACCTATAACTGCAAATATATGATCAACTGGTATGGAAAATTACAAATATTGTCCTGGATATACAAATATCCTGGAAAAAGCATTACATGTGAATTACACAAAAGTATCAGTCAAGGTATTAACTTTACACTACTATATTGCAAAAACACACCCAATGGAAATGGGATAATGTTGATGAACAAAAAGTTCAATAATTTCCAAAGGCTTAGGTTATCAAAACTTAATTATGTAAGTGATAATTAGAACAGGAAGGAGTGGGGGGGGGGGGGGAGAATGCAGCATCATACTTGCCATGCCTATACATAAATATGAGAAAATAAAACAAAAACGAGAAACTAACAGTGTGCAAACCGGGAACGGAACCAGCCCCATACTCCGATATCATGACTGGTTTATTGTGGAGCGCGTGCCACTCTGTGAACTCGGTGACGGTCTGCAACTTGATGAGTTCCAAGTGGCCAGTATCGCTGTACCACGAGTAGTACCGGTTGACGAGGATCACGTCAATACTGCTCGCCTGGTGAGCCAAACAAAATTAACAGCTACTCAGCAATTGAGGGTTTATAATCAAATACAGTACAGTATAAAGAAGTTGGTGAAAATCTTGACTTTGCACTGTACTTTGAAAATGGTAATTCAAGAGTTGTATCTTCATTTAGCTCATTAATATATTTTACAGCTAATAATTGATTCTTTAACAATCTACAGCCAATTCAAATATGTTAAGAGCGGGTTAGGCTACAGTGAATAGATCGCTGAAGGCAAGATTACAGGCAAGTTGTCTATTTGGTCAAAACATTTAGTTTACCCATGCAACTCCCTTGTTATATAATAAAGCAAATTATTAATGATAAATATAGAGAACACATGCATTAGAAACTACAATGTTCTGATGAACTGCTTGAAACACCAAATAGGCATATTTTTCTTATTTGCATACATGGCAATATTCTCTAAATGATATTATTCAACAACTCTAATTCAATCTGTCACCCTTTCTCCATCCCAATGTCATAGTGTTAAATAAGCCCATGTCTTTTAAGCACTTAAATAAGCACTGTCCCTGTACCTGTTATTGTTCTGAATGTGCACTCCCTCACCAGGAATGGCTGCAGTGAACCCTTATATAATAGTTTTTAGCCATCAACACGGAAAAGGGAAGTTAAGAATAAGATGAAAAGGACGAGGGTATCAGTGTTGTGACCAAGCATCTGTAGGTGTCTGAGAACTATCTGTAGGGCAGAAGATTGAGCAAGATAATGTTTGGATGAGAGGCATGTTACCTTGAAGTTTAAGTAGAGTGAAAATGTTCTGATAAGACAGCACCTGTCACCCTCCCATAACTGGAATGGTGCATTGGCAATAAACATGCAGACATGAAATATTCATATGAATGACATGATATGAGGTTTTAGTTTAAGCGACACAAAACACACACACACACACACACTGCTCTTAACATTAAGCTGGGGCTGTATTCATAAGCAATAAACTACATCCATAAAAAAAAAAAAAAAAAGAGGAAAAAAAAGTACCCTATGAAGCAATTTACTTCAGGGAAAATAACAAAATGCAGTAATATTTAGAAATTGATGCACAATGTCGTGTGACAGCATGTTGTAACATTACTGAAAAACTCAAATAAATCACTTGAACACTAAAAACTACCATCTACTGGGTACTAAAACATTGTTTTCCACAATTACAACACATTAAATGGACAAAATCCAAACTTGTAATAAATCAATTTAATTTCAATGAATAATTTGTTGCAATGTATAAAGGTGTATCAAAAGATAATAAACTGAGATAACCAATGACAAGTAGATCAATTAGTAGTGGCGTAATAGTGGCTTTAGGCATTGTATGTACTAGCTCTATCTATAAAGCCAACAAACTTTGTAAATCTCTTTATGTATGTACCTTACCTAAATAAAGATTATTATTATTATTATTATTATAATTACTGCTCTAATTGGGTTCGTTCTCAACTCTCAATCGGGACTCCTCGGTTCGAATCCTGGGCGGGACAGTAATGGTTAGGCACATTTCCTATCACCTAATGCCTCTGTTCATGTAGCTATATATAGGTACCTGGGAGCTAGTTAACTGTTGTGGGGCTGCATCCTGGGAAGGGTCAGTAGTTTGACCTGGGGGGAAGGGGGGTTGTTGAAGGCCTCAATATAAGCTTAACAAGCAATGTTCCTAAAATTATATATTCAAAATTTTGGTCTTGTGGAATGTTCTTGTGGAAGCTTTTTCATTATATTATACAGTAAATGATTTAATTTTTTTATAGTTAAAACTAATAGAAATTTGGTTAAATTTGGTCATTACTGTAAGTCAGTACAGTAATTCATGTTTTTTTTTTTTTTTTTTTTTTTTTTTTTTTTGAGATATATACAAGAGTTGTTACATTCTTGTACAGCCACTAGTACGCGTAGCGTTTCGGGCAAGTCCTTAATCCTATGGTCCCTGGAATACGATCCCCTGCCGCGAAGATTCGTTTTTTCATCCAAGTACACATTTTACTGTTGCGTTAAACAGAGGCTACAGTTAAGGAATTGCGCCCAGTAAATCCTCCCCGGCCAGGATACGAACCCATGACATAGCGCTCGCGGAACGCCAGGCGAGTGTCTTACCACTACACCACGGAGACTGCTCAAATGTTCTAATATAATATAATATTAATTGAAATAAACCAATCTCAAAAGAGATACTGTATTTAAAAATAATGAAAATCACTGCTTGTTAGGAAATATTTGCCTTGCATATTAAGCCAAGTAGTGCGGTTCTGGCTATTTGGTATGATACATACATACATACACGGGCTGCCTATCCCCCAACAAAATTATATAAACAAAATATTGAAATGTACAAATACTTTATGAAGCTCTTGTTGTGCAGCAAAAAATAAAAAAAAAAAGCTCTCAGTTCGGCATAATTTAGTTGGATGATCTCAAGTGTTCCCAAGTACCGTGCAAGATCTGACAGGAACATTTGAAAGAGTCTGTGGTGCCGTTATCAAGCATGTCGGCCTGCCTGACTGCACGAGTTGCATCACCAAATGGTACTACACTATTATTATTACCCGAGGAAGTAAACATGTGGGCAATTAGTGAAGCAAAAATCGTCTAATATGCATAGAAGTCTTATAAAAATTCAGAAATATTTGCTTTTAAAATGCAGGTAATAAATCAGCATAACAAGAAAACACATTTATAAAGTACATGCATTAAGCATTTGAAAATCATTCATCATAAGTTTTGGACAACGTGCAACAACAAACACTTTAGGCACATACAGCGTGTTCTTTGTCCTTTGGCCGATTAAGTACACATGTTACAGGCCGAGAGGAATCTTCAGCCTTAGTAGCTAGTACAACTTTGCTGAGGAATAAGAGAATTCAAGTGAATGAAAGATATGGAGGAGAGGATTGGGGATTATCAGTTGAAGGAATGGGGGGGGGGGGGAGAAGTGGGAGGGGAGGGAAGGGAACTATCAGGAGAAAGTGCAGTCATTATGACTATATAGCACTTGGAAGGGATCAGGATATGGATTTGGGATGGGATGAGATAGAGGGAAGGAATGGTGCCTAACCACTTGGATGGTTGAGAATTGACTGCTAACCTGCATGAAGTGAGACCGCCACCCTGCCATCCAGTCCAAGTGGTTGAGCTGGACAGAAGAGCAGAAGTGGACAGTAGGACAGAAGGTAGGGTGGAAGGAAGTGGACAGGAGATTACCAGTTTGGGGGAACCGGAGGCAACCCAGAGAATATCTATCCCCAACAAATAAACAAAACATTGCTATAGTACTTCATCTCTTACAACATCTAAGAGTTCACCAGAAAGCAAACTTTATCACAAAACATAACACCAACACCTATGGTCACATGGATGTATGTCGTGATATAATGCAAGCCCACCAGAGCATAAAAACATTGGGTGGTTTCTTCTATTTTTATAACCCTCTTATCTCGATTCTCTTCAAATTTCCTTCATAGTCTTTAGGTTATTAAGTTAAAGTTCCTCTCCCTCATAAATTTTCACCAAGACATTTCTTGTGCACTAAACATTAAAAAATGAGATCATAGCCTGTAACTGTGTACATTAGATTCCAAATTGTATGAATGTTAAACCACAGCACAGTAACTTAAGAACTTTGTGAGAAGAAATAGGAAGCATTCCAGGACATAGGATTTTATTACATAAAAAAAATTTAAATGTAGTTAAAAATGTGTGCGCACATTTAATGAGTATGTTATAGAATAGTATGGGATCTTGTGCCTAATGGAGAATGTTGTATGCCACTTAAAATACTGTACTGTAAAAGGGGATCTTGCACTTTTTCATTGTCGGGTACAGGAAGCCTTTTAAGCTTATGGAGATCCCCATAGGGCAATGACCAATATACCCTAGATGCAACCCACAACAGTTGCTTAACTCTGTTGTCTGTTTACCATTATGTGAACCGAGGCATTAGATGTAAGAAAACAATGCCCAAATATCTTGCCTTGTATGGGACTCGAGCCCAAGACCACTTAGCTATAGTAACATGTACGTGGTATAAACACGAGTCACCTGCAGAACAGTAGTTAGCACAATCGACTTGCAACCATAATTTGATTTGCAAGATGAGATGTGTGAACATACTTCCTTACACCTGATGCCTCTATTCACCTAGCAAGTAAACAGGTTCTCAGGAGTTGCGCAACTGTTGTAGGTTGCATCCTGGCTAAGGTCAACTGATGGTCTCGGCAACCTTGATAAGCCTCGGGAATTTCCTGGCCCTCAACAATAGGAAACCATATGTAATAATTCAAGATAATCAAACTTTAAAGTTTGAGAAGTTTAAATATGGTCTCTAGGAATTTGTTCAGTTTTGTGAACTTCAATTATATACCAAACTCCTAAATTTGTGTAAAAAAAATATGAAGTTCCAAAAATATCACATTCCAAGTGCAAGTATTGTACTATATATTGCATTTCATATAACATGGAGTACTGTACGTTTACAAAGTCCATCACTACGTTAACCACCCACTACATACAATTACAAACACTAAGTATTCCCACAGTGGGCACATTAACATCAAGGAAAAATGATGACAGAAATATTATCAGCCAAAGTGTGTGCAAAATACGTGTTCCCATATCAACACAACCTTGCCTATGTAAATCAACTAGTGATAGTATGATTTACCCATTAAAAAAGTTGCATATAACAACCTACAGCAAATTCAAGCAGGCCCTGATTCAGCACGCAAGTCACTGGCCGGGTGGGGTCAGCAGTGTGGGTGGCATTTACAACTGACCTGAGGATCAATTACAAAATAAGAGAATATATCAAACTAGGGTATTGTTAGCAAGAGTGGCTTTCTGCATGTGTCGCAGATCTATCATTGTCAAACTGCCGGCTTCCTGCGCCCGTTGAGGCTACTATAGGTAGTGGCCCTCTGTTAAATTCTGGTAAATCCCCATAACTTCCTTTACATGTTTAGTCAGTTCAGATATATTTGATGCCTGTGCTTTGCCATGTATAATTAAAATACTGTATTCTGATATGAACTCTGAAAGGAATAGTGACATCATAAATCACTGAGTAGAGCTCCAAACTTGTCTTGCTTTATTTTTGTATGGGTTGATAAATGTTTTGTTGAACTTCAGTGCTTGTGAACACATTCTGGTTAGCGATGGAGTAAAAGATATACTGTATATGGGTACAGTAGACAAGCATACAGAGCTGTGGACAGTTGGAACAAATTAGGTGAAAAGGTGGTGGATGCCAAAACCATCAGAAGTTTCAAAGAGCTATATGATACAAATCATAGAGAAGACAGGATGCCAAGTGTAGCTCTCATCATATAACTACACTTGGGTAATTACACACACACAAATGTACAGTATATACATATATACATATAGCTGGTGCCTATCTTTCTGGTTGGTTTGCCAAGTCCCTAGACTAAGAACTGTCGCAAGGGTTGTAAGTACATTCTTAATATCTCGAATTAGTCCTTCCCAGGAAATGTCTTAAGCTAAAGACATTTCCCAGTAAATGTTTTAAGTTGACAACTCTTGAAATATAGTGTATTGAATGTTTTAGAAATCATGATGATAATCACTTTGCTGGAAAAGAAAATAGGATAGATTCTCTTAATACTGTAGTAGATAAAACAAAGGGCTCCTTTGTTTTATCTACTTGCACAGGCTCCTTGTGCAATGGTAAATATTTCGATACTATGCAGTTATCCAGAGAGCATGAAAGTTGGTCACAGGTAGCAGAATGTATCCATATATTGTAAAGTCACTGAGGTAATGTAAATACTGTACTGTAGTTTACTTTTCATTATTCATCTAAATTTATTCAGAACTACCATAGTAATCGACATTGTTTCGGAACGGTTAGAAGCTGATACTCTAGTACTCTGAGCCTTGGAACGTTTGCACTAAACATGTTAATTTGTAAATTTAGAATGGAATGGACAAAATTCTAAATATTACATTAATTTGTTGTCTCGAATCCAGCGGAGCGATCACCAGTGAATGCAAGTTAACAGAGCCTAGAATGGTGGACTGGACTTCCAAAATTCTCATGCTCTGGTACACTTGAAGGTGAGAGTTTTCAAGTACTGTATCTCTTAATGGGATAATATGACCAATTGATAATTGTTGTGGAAACATGAAGTGGCCATATTGAAAAGTCCACAACAGCAAGGAAAACAAATCCCTTCAACTGGTACAATAGTTAACAATTCTGAATTTCACATTCTCCACCTACCTGTGGGTGGAGAATGTGATTACTCTTGCTGCCTTATCTTGAAGAAATAGACAACTTAAAAGTTTCCAGTCTGCCTCATACGGTACATTCCATAAAGCACATAACCCCTCGGGAGACATTTCAGTAAAGATTTACACGGGGAAAAAAACGATATGAGTTTAACAAAATACTTATTCACTAAAAGGAAAGTATATATGGTTTACGTACAGCATGTTCTGATTTCTTGTCATAAGACAGAACACAAGTGACAGGACGAGTCGGATCAGCAGCTTTGGTTGCATTTACCACATTGCTGTAAATAAATGTTACACTGCAAACATCTTGGTAAGTTTAATGACATACCCCTTAACAAGTGCCTATCAGCAAAATGTGCAAAGAAAAGTATTTGAAACTCTCCCACCATAATTTGCAGAGAACTAACACAGTAAAACATTTTCTAACAATAAACATCTCTTGGAAATATACCACTCAATTTCTTATGAAAGGTCTTGCTGGTTCTGTGGATACTATCATAGACAACCTGTGCAGGTCAACATTCTGCAACAGAACTGCAGGAATATTTTTGAACATCCCTGTCAGGTTATACTGGCGTAAGGTAAATACTCGATCCCAACCAGAATAACCCCCATAAGGCAAATTTATAACAAAAACTAATCTAATCACTGCTTGATATCACAGGGACCATCAAATGACAGCACCCTACACCTGACCACCACCACCAGAACCATGTAATCAGGGGTATTGGACATGAATTAGCTTTTGTTCTTCCCAATTGGTCCTTTGTGCAATCATGGCAGGTAAGGCCATGTGCTGCCATTGGGTGACTCTGTGAAATGATCATCTTTTCTCCAGGTCAAGTCCAGGTGCCTTGATGTGGGGCATCCTAGGACACAGATTGCTTTCTTTCCATGAAGCTTTATCTGGCACCACTGCAACACTTTGAGTCAAGCTACTTGTATGTATATTATAAACTTGCCTCAGACTATTCTCTAAGGAGCAACAAGTGTAAAAGCTCAGAAATCAGGGTTTGAGTGTACTTTACATGATAAACTCTTGCTTGAGCAGTACACTCGGATCTTCCAATTACCTCCCATCTATGCCAGATAACTTGTTTTATAGGTTCGTCATGTAATGCGAGAGGTAGCTAGAGTCAGGGCAACCTTATTTACATGTCAGCGCTGCTATCTGGTGGAGGTCAATGGTAGTGGCCAGGTAGACCAACTAGTGGCTAACAAAAGCACTGCTTGGCAGTCCCTTAGATACCACATAACATTTGGAAGGACATTTATGGTAGTTATTTAGAACACGCTTTATGGAGGTTATTCTGGTCTGGATTGGGTATTCTCTAATGTCTCCCTTGCACCAGCATGACCCAGCTGAGTATGTTCAGAAAGATCCTTGGTGCAGTGGAGTGGAGTGGAGTGGTATATCTATCTATCCCGACTGTTAGTAATGCTGTCCAGAGGACCAGTAGAACCTTGCCTAAAGAAGCCATCAAATGTCTTGCCCAAAACTGAGCCTTTCATATACACTCTTAAGTCAGATTTTTAACAAGCTTCATTATCAAAAGTGAAATAAGATTGAGCATACCTAATGAACATAACTGATGATTGCTATAAAGCACTTAAAACCACATTCCAGTGTAATACATTCCAAAGTGAAGTCATTTTAATTTTAATTCAATTTTTTTTACAGCAATCTTCACAGTTCATTTATGGTTTAGCTTATTAGAGTACAAGAAGATCCTTCATAATTTCCCCTATGCACCTATAGGATTAATGAGGATCAACTTTTCTATTTTCCAAACACAGATAAACATTTTCCAAACGTTTTGCAAAAATTAAAACCATCAGATTCGTACAATCCAAAATTTTTGCCTACACATTAACCATACAGAAAAAATGTATACAAGTTAAAAATAAATAGAAGAACTAATAGACTGATTACTTTTATCTTGAAGAATACTACAGAACCTAGGAATTTACAGTATGGCCAGAGACTACGATGCCTTCACTCCCCTTCAAGAAGTATTTAAAGTTGGACAAAGTGCTGCTACAGGGGTTAAAATGACCTAATAATAGTTTAAAATGCCATAAGAAGCAATCTCTGTTCCTTTAAATATACTTGTGCCTGCTACATTAAAGCATTAGTAAATTATTACAATAAATACAGTAATGTACAAATTTGAAAATGATTGTATTTGCCAACCTGAAATATTCCTTGGATGCGTTCTGATTTGACTGGGGCTCGTTGCCGACACTCCACATGATGACGCTGGGCCGGTTCTTGTCACGATGCACCATCTCTTGCATTACAGATATGTGCTTATTCATGAGCACTTCACCAAAACCACTATGTAGAAAAAATATTAATTTGTGATAATCAAACTCTTGTTAATACAAAGTCTCAAATGTTTTTCATACCATTAAAATTTGCTAAAATTTGATCCAGATATTATATACAGATGAACTTTGAGCTCAGCCCTTGGGTTGAGCCAGAGCCTGGATAAACCTAGGATACTGATGACATGACAGACACTGGTTGACTTTTTTTCCTCACTGTGACAAATAAATGTTTAGTGTCAGGCAGACAATGGAGTGAATTTCGGTCCACTGCCAAGTAACCACTTGCAATAAGTCAAAAGTACAAAAACAAATCATGGCTGTGCCAAATGTCAACAAGAGCTTGGCACGAAGGCATTGTCCTGGGTAGACCTGGGCCTTGCTCAGTGAGCAGCCAAGGGACTGCTCTGATAGAAAAGCTTAACTCCACAAGTCACACAATATTTTACCAAAGAAATTTAAGTAACCATAGAGAAGATTGAACGAAAAACTATGGAGTGGAACGGACAATATATTGACTAACACCACAGGACATACATAGAGAAAAATGAGATGGGGAGTACCTGAGACCCACAGCTGGACTTTCATCCACAATCATAATGCCTTCCTGATCAGCCATGTCCATAATCTCCTCGGCATAGGGATAGTGAGAAGTACGAAAGCTGTTTGCTCCCAGCCACTTCAACAAACTAAAGTCCTTTACAATGAGTGCATAGTCTACACCCTTCCCTCGAATCTGCAATGGAGTATTTGGGTATACAGTATATAAAAAAACTATATTTTTAAACATTATCTGTGTGTGTTGTCATATACTGTACTGCCATGATTATCATGCACCCTATCTTGACGTTATCTTGAGATGATTTCGGGGCTTTTTAGTGTCCCCGCGGCCCGGTCCTCGACCAGGCCTCCATCCCCAGGAAGCAGCCCATGACATCTGACTAACACCCAGGTACCTATTTTACAACTAGGTAACAGGGGCATAGGGTGAAAGAAACTCTGCCCATTGTTTCTCGCCGGCGCCTGGGATCGAACCCGGACCACAGGATCACAACTCCAGTGTGTTGTCTGCTCGGCCGACCAGCTCCTACAGTATGTCCCCTAGATGCTAAACTGCAAATATTTTTTTAAGTCTGCCATCTAAGTTCATTTTTCTTTTTTTTAAGACCTTGAATTATTTTCTCATCTTCAAAATTGAACTTATACTTGAGCATATTCTATATGCAATTTTAAATATTTTAACTACAATAAATTATGACAAAATCTATATTAAATTGGATTACATTTTGTGGGCATGACTGCCAGGGCAGTGCATCATCCCAAATCTGGAACTGCCTATAGTGTGACCACAAATTTACACTATTACAATATGTCAAGATGACAAGTGTTGCCTCTATCTTGTTAATACCAACATGTGCTTTATAAAGGGAATTTAACTGCAGTACAAGCAATTATTTCATAATTATTGTTTATAAGCACACACAATCACTATTACATGTCTAAATACTGTAATCATAAATATTTATTTCACACTTCCTATAGGAAAAATCCAGAAATTATTATAATAAATAATACCCCTCAAAAAGGGGGGAAACTTTTAGAAATGCAGATAGGGTCAGGAATGATGTAATCCACATTTTGGTCTTTGTACCTGGTGTCATTTAAATAGTGGTAGCTTTATCATTATACAGTATCTACCTATTAACTGGCAATTTCAAATAGTTCAACATTGCTTGCAGAGTGCTCTCCCACATATATTCAACCTGTCGCAGAACTCTTAAATCCCAAAACAAAAATTAATTGTGATATCCACATAAAAATCCATAGCATTATTCATGGCAATATTCACACTCACATCGGAATCTTCATGTTTCCCACAGCCTCGGAGGTACACCGGTTTGTTGTTGATGGTGAGGGTGGTAGAGTTCCAGCCAACGGTACGAATTCCTACTTTCTGTGGGTACATATCCAAGTTGCCTGCATCATCCGACACTGCCACCTGCAAACAAATTAAACCAATACAGTACTGTAATGGCACTATGGTATATATAATGGCTATTATTCAACAATTTTAACTACAACCTCATACATGGAGCAAAAATCTTTATGGAAATCAAGTAACTAATATTTTTTATATGTATATACAAGAGTTTTTAAATTCTTGTAAAGCCACTAGCATGCATAGCATTTCGGGCAGACCCTTAATCCTAATTTTCCCCAGAATACAACCTGCCAAATCATTTAGCAACCAGGTACCCATTCACTGCTGGGTGAACAAAGGCTACAGTTAAGAATTGCCGCCAAGTCAATCCTCCTGGGCCAGGATACGAACTCGGGCCAAAGCACTAACGAAGTGCTTTGCGAGTGCCGGGCGAGTGCTTTACCACTGTGCCACAGATACTTAAATATAGTTTTAAACATTTAAGGTTTGAAAAGAAAAAGGAAGGAACAGAAGTGGCAGCCTTTAATTTGCATGGTGTTGGATGTCGGTTTTGGAGAGATGTTCACTTGCCCCACGTGCGTGCACACAAACATTTGGAGAGGGGGGGGGGGGAGGTTATGTTTTATAAAGCTTTAGGATTACATATGTGCAGTATTGCACATGTGTGTGTATGTTTCAGGGGGGAGAGGGAATTATCAGGGAAAAGTGCCAAGCCAATACAACTATTTAACACTTGGAGCCCAACCAACCCCTTGGACAGTTGGGGATTGAACGCAGACTCGCATGAAGCGAGACCGTCACTCTACCGTCCGCCCCAAGTGGTTGGGACATGTTTCAGAGGAGAAAAAGTGTGAAAAGTGGTCACAAGTGTATAATTTCGTGGTAATCATATTGCCTCTCGTTATTTCCTGTATTAGTTTTTTCATTTAGCACTTCAAACCTTTCCTCACAGCTCTTATTTCTGAGCAAGACTTCCACAGTCACTTCCAGGATTTCTACCTTTCTTAGACACCCCATTTTTGTCAGGCTGTCAACCTTCCCCTCCACAGTGAGACGTATCTTTGCAAGTGATCTTGTCTCAATTGAAAAGAGAAAATATTGAAGATAAAGTTCAATTAACCAAAACAAAAACACAGCACCCCCGCCAAATACTAGCTGAAAAGCAAACGAAAGGCAAGTTTTAACTCTTACCGAATGTTGCTTTACTTTCTACATCACTGCTTGATCATAGTACCACCACCACCACCACCACCAGAGGTTGGTGAACAAAGTCACAGACATTTATTGCTTGACATCCACAGCTATTCCAGTTTGGCTCTACAGAAGTCAATTTAGTTGCAGATTTTTCACCGAGACTTTTGCACCAGCATAAGAGTACCATAGCTTAGTACCACTTTTGCACCAGCATAAGAGTACCATAGCTTAGTACCAAAGTGTTCACTTCACAACAATTGGCATGTAGTTATCATACCTCTGGTTTTGTCTTTCCAAGTCAGTTGGGTTTAGGGGTTACTTTTCCAGATGACAATTGTCAAAGAACATCAGCCACCAATTACCTTCTCTGGTTGTCGGGTAAATTCTTGGCCTAATCTGGCTTCCCTTAAGCTCGGCTACACCCCACTGTAGAGGTAAGGGTGGGGGGGGGGGGGGGGTTGCATCTAGCTATGGTTTTTGAGAGGTTTCCTCTTGGGTGCTACTAATCCGTGCCTCAGGCCTGTCCCGGGTTTTGTCGTAGGATGTGTGCCTTTTATTCTTCAGGTAATTGTGGATGATGGTAATAGTAGTTACAGATACAGATAATGGCAAGAGGGTCAGTAATGAAAAGAATGTTTAACGTGAATTGTCACCAGAAGATAGCACTAGACAGTAGACCCTTTCAACTAAAGACAAAACACATACAATAAAACCAAGGAGGTAAATAGTTTACCACGAGTGTGTACAAGTATCCTGGGTTGTCAGACATGAGGTAGGGCCACCAGAGACTTGCGTTTGATACCAAAATAGACCCAGCACAACCCATGGCACTTGTAACATGGTTCCCTTCTTGATTGAGCAGCTTTATGGAACAGCCAACACTTTTGGCTTTCTTTGATCTATTCGGGTTTGTGGCATACGTTATACTGTAGGTGATGATGCCTGTACAGGGTAAAGGAAAAAATGGCTTACCAGTTTTAAGATTGATATGTTTAATAAACCAACCCACAATGTATATGTAAAGAAAAAAAAAGACAATGTTTGGGTTCATTCTGGTCTTGATAACACTCCGTCATGGACCAAAATGTTGTCATTTGCCTTTTTCATGTGTGTGGGGTCGGTATATTTGTTTTCAGTCAAGTCAATCCTTACATCTGTTTATATCTACCCATTTCTGACTACACTATATTGGTTCAACAAGATAACAAGGTCTAAAAACATGAGGTTTTACAAATCTAAACGTAAATAAAACTTGAAATATGATGATGCAATTAATAATAAAATGACATTTTTTTACTCTACTTTATTTCTCTGTAGAAATAAATGTTAAGCTGTATGCAGTTGGTCATGGCAATATAAAAATCTCACATCAAGCCGCGAGTTCACAAATTTATGAGATATAAAATATATTGACTTCAAATATTAGCTTTACATTAAGATACACCTACAGTACACCATGAACTTGTCTACAGCTACATCTATGTAACTCTAATAACAGGCCTAGCACAAGTTAAATTACTTCTCATTAAGCTGCATACACATCAAAGAATCTTTTAATTGATCAGTTGTATTAATTAACATATGCCATTCTTACTAAATAAGGTGAAAAACATTGATGAAGCAACAGGACAAGACACTAAAAGGCTATTGTTCACCACTCGCAAGAAACACTTGCTTAATAACGTAAACTAAAAAATATCCATATTTACTTACAGTATTTGGTTAATCCTAATAAATACAATGCACTTACCATCTGTACCATTAATATCTGTGGTCACCGAGATGTCATCAACATACGTCTGTGGTGTTGTGTAAATATAGACGGGACGGTGCAGACCAGCATAGTTTGTGAAGTCGAAGTTGTATGACTGTGTAAAGTATCCCGGAGGATATCTGCGGAATATGGGCAAATTATTCACACACACTTGTACTTTTAAAACGTAACTAGAGTCTAGTGTGGATGAGTTACACTATACATATGTATACAATATAGCACCATTATTCTTAAACTTGGAATGTTTACAAAAAGACAAGTACAGTACTATATTGTATGTGCTGTGCCACTAAGCCCTTCCCTCACCATTACACCAAATATTACCACAATTACTATTTACATTCACATAAATGATTTCACAAATTTTGTAATGTATATAATTACTGTATCAAGTAATAATCTAATATAAATCCATATTAGATATAAAATTCAACAATATTACCAGTAATTTTTTTTACCCAATTGCCAGATCAATGGTTCACAATAATAAAATGGGATTCTGACTGTACTATATTTCTCATTACAAATAAATGTTAAACTGTACACAGTTGGTCAAAGCTATATAAAAATCTCACATGAACCCTGCTAGCTTAGAAATTTCTGAAAGATATAAAACATATTGAATTCAAATATTTGAAGATGCAATAATGTACTACGAGAAAATCTTTGGACTAGGACAGCGGGATTGTACCAGCATCCTGCTTCACCCCAGGATGCTGATACAATCCCTCCATCCTGTTCCACAGAGTTTCTCATACACCTACTGTACAGTATTTACCAAACCATGAACACCTCCATTCCCATTCTGTACATGGAATGTGATAACTAAAAATTGAGTCTACCATTTGTTGTAGTCAGTTCACAACCAAATAGTCCTGGGTTCGATTCCCATGCAGGACAAGACTTTTGTGCACGTGTCTTTGCACCTGATGCATCTGTTCATCTAGCAGTAAATATGTACCCAGGAGTTAGGCAATTGTTGTGGAATGCATCCTGGGAAAGGTCAGCAGTTTGCCTAAGGAAGTTGTGATAAACCTAACAGGATCCCTGTCCAAGACAATGGGAAACAAAGTAATCGAGGCATCGCTGCCCGACTTGTTTATCGTTACTGTACATTCTGTGAGGAGATGGAAACAGATGCAGTTGTATGCTATAGTATCACATTTAATTTTAAACTAACTTTAGTTCACTCACAAAATACTTTCAACATGTGTCAGCTTCTATAAAGGGGCACGTTCACTTTCATTTCACAACCTTTGATCCTTAACTTGAGAACTCTCTACCTTGTTTGATCGGTGTGATATGTAATGCTGCCCTGGGGTATGGTTTCTGGCGTGAGTGTATTGTTGATGGCCACAGTGATGAGGTTCTCCTTCCCATACACCACACCAGAGGTTATCTCTGCCATAATGGGAAGGTGGCCTCCCTCATGTGAGGTCAGAGAAATGCCATTGAGGTACTGAAAATAATAATTCGGCTCATTAATACTTAATATTTTCAAAAATGGAAAATTGCAAGGGTTTATTCTGTTGTGTAAATTTTGAAGTTGAACTTGGTAAGCAAGCAAGCATTTGTCTTGGACATACATTGTGCTCATGTTGTCAAGAACAAAGACAATCTATGGGGGCACTCATATCAGTTTGGCCAATCAATGTAAATCTATAAACAAATGTATAAAATACCTACAACAATTGAATTATAGTGAGCAGATCCAAGACGTAACACAACTCTTAGCTTGTCTGTCTGCCATCTTGTAGGCACGAAGAATTTACGATCATACCTAACAAAAGACAATTTTAACCGTTTCAGAATGCATTTCCAAAGCAAATTAATGTTAAAATGGAAGAATGATAAAAAATTATGCATAAAAAAAAATAAAGGCATATTCCATTATTTTTAAATAAAATACAGTATGAAGTCTAAGCATTAAAAAACTTGCAAGACTGAGGTACAGTAAATGAAATGAATATTAATGACTACAATCAATATTTAAATTCTCACTATCTACATTATCTCTGCTGTGGTACTAGTAGAAATAAGTAGTTAAATTATACATGTACAGTATTGCATTTTTATTTATACAGAATATTCTATTGTGGCCTTCAAGACATCTTAAAGACTAAGCCAACTCCATTCAATTCTTTGAAATGGATAATATTTTTAACACCAAATGATTTGTTGTAAAATTCTTTATTAGCATTTTCCCATGCATTATATGTTTATATTGCCTGTAGTTTATCCGTAGCAGTTTTGCAAAGTTTTCTACTCTGACAGCACGGCCTGAGGCAGGCCTTATTCTGGGATTACCTGACCAGTGAGGCTTGTAGGCCAGAAGCCCACGTAACCAATACAGCTTGGCTATTCAAGTTCGTGTCTAATTACCTTTCAAAAACTAACACCTTTGTTCTGGTAATACTGTAAGAGTATTTTTTGGTGTTCAGGTAGGTCAATTACAGTCTCCGTGGTGTAGTGGTAAGACACTCGCCTGGCGTTCCGCGAGTGCTATGTCATTGGTTCGTATCCTGGCCGGGGAGGATTTACTGGGCGCAATTCCTTAACTGTAGCCTCTGTTTAACGCAACAGTAAAATGTGTACTTGGATGAAAAAACGATTCTTCGCGGCAGGGGATCGTATTCCAGGGACCATAGGATTAAGGACTTGCCCAAAACGCTACGCGTACTAGTGGCTGTACATGAATGTAACAACTCTTGTATATATCTCAAAAAAAAAAAAAAAAAAAATTCTTGGACCTCTTAATACTCCATTAACTGTGCTTATACATCATCTCTTCTGGTTTATTTGCACTGTGTGTATCTCAGTCCAATCCATATTTTGTGTTAGATTAAGGAAAATTTTAGTTTTATTGATGAAATAATGTGAATTTGAACATGACTAGTTTTCCTAGTGTAAGAAAAGTTCATGAGGGTAGAATGCCAGGAAGTATTTCCATGGAAGAGATTAAGTACATCAGTGTAGAAGCTGACATGTGGGAATGCTGCAGGCATGGATGAGGTACAGTATATGCAGAAATAATAAAATTGAAGAAAAAGAAACTGAATGGGTGTGGAAAATGTCTCGATAGCATAGAAGACAACTGAAATGGGCTGTAACTGTACTGTTATATAAAATAAAGACTGACTTAGTAACAACTATTGAGGCATTAGTTTGTAAAATGTAGTTGGCAAAGAGTGTGGCAGACTAGCAAGTGGAAGAGTACAGAAGATAACTGAGAATTTAATTAATGAACAAATTCCTTTTCATGGAAGAGGTTGTGCAGATATTTGAATTCAAACACAGTAGAGAAGGCATGCGAGAGAGGTTATATGGTGAATACAATTAAGAAGAGTCCATGTGATAAAGTGAATAGAAAGTCATTGGAAAATACTACGTGTGTATGGAATTGGTTGAATGTTACTGAATGTTGGGAAGAGCATTCAGGAAGTTAATGCAGGAAGTTATGGCCATTTACGCAGGAAGTTACGTATAAGTGAGACTTGAGTGTGGTGACCAACTGGTTTAAAATTATTGTAGGAGTACATCACAGTTGTAGTGTGCCCCCACTGTACTGTATATTGCGTATGGATGGGCTCGTAAGAAAGGTCAGGGTAACAATGCTAGTAAAAGTGTGACATTGGTGCATAATGGAAGTAAATGACATACTGTACTGTACATCAAATATAATGTATACAGATAATACACTTCTAGCATATATATATTGATAGGAATATATGCAGATTAGTTGTTTTATTAACATGTGTGAAACAAGACTGCTAAAAGTGAATATGGACAAAAAGTTAAGTGATTAATGATGAAGAGAGAGTTAGGACTTCAGTGTGTGAAATTTTGGTAAACAAAGAAGACTTAGAAGCAGTCAATGAGTTTAAAAACTTGGGCTCTGTAATTGGCAAGAGGATTTTATGTGAATATTGAAGTAGAGTAAATCAAGAAATGAAAGTACTGTAGTGGTTTGGAAAACAAGATAGAGAGGTGGCTACAGGGCTGCATGGAGTAGTAGTGCCTAATTTATTACAGATGCGAGACTGTGGATTGAAAATATTATAATAAGATGTGAAGAATAAAAATCAGTCAATTGTAAGTACGGAGAGTTTATCGAGATGATTTGGTCATATTAAAAAGATTAAATGGAGAATGAATGGATGAAAGTGAATTTTATGTTATGAGGATGAGGAAGGCCAACCTTGTGGTAACCTTATGGTTACCTTGCGGTGATTCAGAGGATCAATATCCCCGTGGCCTGGTCTCTGACCAGGCCTCCTGGTTAGTGGTTTGGTCAACCAGGTTGTTAGACATGGCTGCTTAAAGAGGACATTGAACATGCATGTTGAGTAAGAAAGTAGTAATCGAGTTTGAACACAGTTCGAGAAGGAGTAAAGAATAATATGAGCTGTTTGGGGTGGAAATGGACTGGGTGGAGTGGGATGGGAGGGTGGACTAGGTGTGCCTGAGGTGGACAGGGGGTGGACTGGGTGTGCCTGAGGTGGACAGGGGGTGGACTGGGTGTGCCTGAGGTGGACAGGGGGTGGACTGGGTGTGCCTGAGGTGGACAGGGGGTGGACTGGGTGTGCCTGAGGTGGACTGGGGGTGGACTGGGTGTGCCTGAGGTGGACAGGGGGTGGACTGGGTGTGCCTGAGGTGGACAGGGGGTGGACTGGGTGTGCCTGGTGTATGGGTGGAGTGATTGTGTCTAGGGACTATATGTACTATGCCAGATCAATTCGAGAATGAATATTTGACGATTTTAATATCTTGCCAGAAGCACTTTACACCTTGTAAGCAGTCTAGCAGTGGATATACCACTGAAGTGCGACTGTACTGCTTTTTATATGATGCTGCAGTGTTGTGTGATGTGGCAGAAAAGGCAGATGGGCAGGTGCCTTTTATAGCGTATTTTCATTAGTTTTCCGTCCTTTTTTTTTCCAGCCTGATGCATTTCCCCACCAAACAAAATTAGGAAACTCGGTAGAAACTCAGATGATATAGATTCGGTAGTGATGATGTAGATTAGAGAATTTTGTACAAACATTTCCCATGCACAGATCATGATCTCTCTCTTGTCTCTAATCTAGAGGGTACATTTTGAGTGCTTTGAGGCAGTCTGTACATTTCTTCTTCATTTATAACTTAAAATATATAAAACAAACAGTATTACTGTACTGTCATGGGAAGTTCACATTCACCTACCATGCCCAGCCAATGTGGTCTCGAAGTGCCTTGTCCTGCGTCACATCATTGTAGCTGCTGGGAACAGCCATTGATATCACTGAACCAGTCTATATACAGGAAACAAAAATAGAAATGCTGTTCAAAATGGAAAAAAAAAAGATGTACACACTATTATTCAAATTATGCCATTTGTGTTTTTTGTATAATACTTCACAATGTGAGGAAGGAGGAGGGGAGAAGTACATCTATGTGCCTGGTTAATATTTCAAATAGGCACAAATGACAGCAAATCTTTCCCCCATTCCCTTTTTGCAAAGTGTTATGCAAAAATGGCATAATTATACAAATTTTCTTCATAATAAATTGGCATATGTTTATCCAGAGTAACTATCTACTTCATAGATAGGCTGTGTTGTATATACTGTAGTGTTGATCTCGTGTAAATTTGTTTTTCTGCTTTGGACTGAATACTGCACAATCTCACAATACAGGTACTGCATAATCTCATTCTGGCTGCTGCTCAAAGTCTCTGACAACATATTAGCACCATTGTTGGTGATACATTTAAGAGATGCTTAATATTTGTATACCTGTATATTAATCCATAGGTATTTGTGGCTTCAATATCCTTTCAAAACCAAACCAAAACAATACTCTCTACTGGGCAATTACCTAAGGTAATTGCCCAGTAGTAATTGCATCACTCCACCTTCTAGCTATTTGTACTCAGTTCATTTTAATTAACAAGCCATACACTCTGCAAGATTTTGTTTTTTTAGAATAATCTTGCATAGTGTTGGCCCTATAATTTAATAGTGGGACTTCTCTCATAATGTCTTGCCACTCTGGTGGTGGTTCTCTCACTGTGACCCTTTGCTCTTAGTTGTGTAAATACCCCCTTTTCCAATGTGTGGCACCAGACTCATGTGGGGCAGTGTGTCAATGGCCTTTGCAGGTGCAACTTGTGGGTGGCATCTGTGTTAAATAAATACACTTGGTGTGTAGCAAGTAGGCAGTGGTGTACATGTGATAAGTCAAGCTGATAAGGGAAGAGAGACCATTGAGGAACTTCTTTACACAACTATGGGAGATAACATTTATATTGGCATGATTGTGTATGCATTACCGCTCGGTATTTTCATATTTGAGTCAAGTGTGAAATATACATCATTACAGAACTTTGCACATCACTCATTAAAGATACTATAGTAAAATCTTATATAACCAACCAAGACATAAGCATACTGTTTAAACACACCTTGCTGAGGGGCTGGGCATACCACTCCTCTCGGAAACCTTTATCTGGGTCCTGCAGTGGTGAAAGCCTGAAGTTCCACAACCCATCTAGGGAACGCACTTCCCGACTCGCAGATTCCCGAGGATAGAGGCCTCCCCATGTATTGTCCTTTGACTGAACTCCCAACACCAGAAACACTAGGCCTAGGGTTATGGCAGTCAATGTCCCCATTGTGATGTCAATCTGGAAAACCAAATTATTAAAGAAAATCTTGCAAAAAATTTATTGAAATGTTTGGTCAATTTGAAATACACTTCTGTATACATGTATTTTCTGAGAAATGCTCACGAGTTAAACCTTTTCTAGAGCTACATTACTTAAAACACTGTTATAAAAGCTTCCAGGACCCAATACAAAATCAAGATTTCCTGCCCGAAACGCTGCGCGTACTAGTGGCTTTACAAGACTGTAATTACCATATTATGTGTCCTCACATTCCCAATGTACCTTCTTGTATATGCATAAATAAATAAATAAATAAATAAGATCTCGTGACAAAATGTGGATATTAATAAGTTGACTGTAACAAGCAAGCCAAACTACACAAGTTTGTCAAAGTAGGTAAAATAATTAAAAATCAGAGTAAATACCCAAGTAAAATAAATCAAAGCCAAGGAAAGCGGGTAAAATAAAAAAAAAAAAAGCAAGTATAATGGTGTGCCGGTACTGTATCATACCGGTCATGTGAGCACAATCTTGCCCTTGCGAGGCTAGGGGGCAGGAAATGTGGACATTCCATGAACTTTATTTTTCCAAACAGGATATGCATAGTGTATAAATATACACACACCATACTGTGTATGCACTCGTACTACCACTACACTTCACTGTGAATAGTGATCTTATAAAATATATTAAAACGAATACAAAAATTAATATAGTTAATACTGAATTATATGCGGCATTACCATAGCAACTGATATTTATCCAATACAACTCTTGTAACAATTAACAAGAAATATAACTTTATTAATACCAATTTATACGGTTGGTATAAATGTTATACTAATATAATATATTATATCAATATAATATATAAGCAATAAGGTTAATTTCCAGATTTAAATGTGACTTAAAACTCCCGAATAACTCCTTTGAGATTACTCACAGACGCCCCTCTCATCGCCTCGTCCCGGTGTTCTTTGTTTATATTGCGTTGCTGTACGACACTTTTTCCGGCTTCTTACTCGACTGAGATTTTGTCGTACACTTGCCTGATGTTTAGCAAATTTAGCTCTGCATGTCGTATTTATTGATATTTTTAACTTTTTTTTGTTTTATTTTTGTCTATAGTATTCATAAATTTCTGAACTACTGCCTTGCTTTGTTACAATACCAAGGTAAAATGTGTCATCAGTAATATATTAGTTTTTGGTTTGTTTATCATCACAAATGTAGTTTTATCTATTTGCACAGCACCAGCTATGAAGTTACACATATATATGTTTAAATCTACGATTAAAACGCTAAACCTTCTTAAAGTACGCACAAATAGTTAGAAAAAGTCTATATTCTCGTGTTGCTGAGCCGGGATGAAGAAGGGAGGTATCATATGCCTTGGAAATCCAAGGAGATTGCAGGGGGCGTTGCCCTTTGATCCAGTATAATATTGACAAATAATATGCAAATAGTAATGTTCTATTCTCTATATAAATATATACATTGGGTGTGTGACAGGAGTTTTAAATTGGCAGAACAATACTGTACAATGTTAATACTTAAAACATATATACCACTGAAATCACCATTGTCAATTTATATTGTAGTTATTTCTTGATATAAAATCTTGCTACAATGTACCTTTTCATCTTTATTTAGATTAAGGACCTGTCCGAAACGCTTTTCGTGTTAGTGGTTTTGCAAGAATGTACAAATACCAATCTTATGTAATCTCACCAACCCATTGTACCTTGTGAATAAATTATTAGTAACTGAAATTTTCTTGTGAAAGTTCTTATTATAAACGTGTAGCAACACCTTAGAAACAAATACTGTATGTCGAAGCTTTTTTATAATGAATTTTAGGGTATGTTAAACATGTGTTCATTTACTCTGCACCCCATACCCATCCCGTGGACGCTAATGGAAAAAGTTACAGGAGAGCCGGGTTCAGGGGCTCAGGAACTGAACTCCACAACTCATTTAGTTAAGTTAGTTTGATAAACTTGTTGCAATATCAGTAATCATTTATAGCATAGCTAGCTGGGCACCCGGCGGTTCCCGGGTCGATGCGGTATAAAGATCTTTTTTTTTTTTTGAGATATATACAAGAGTTGTTACATTCATGTACAGCCACTAGTACGCGTAGCGTTTCGGGCAAGTCCTTAATCCTATGGTCCCTAGAATACGATCCCCTGCCGCGAAGAATCGTTTTTTCATCCAAGTACACATTTTACTGTTGCGTTAAACAGAGGCTACAGTTAAGGAATTGCGCCCAGTAAATCCTCCCCGGCCAGGATACGAACCCATGACATAGCGCTCGCGGAACGCCAGGCGAGTGTCTTACCACTACACCACGGAGACTGTCTTTCCCACACCCTCCCTCCCCAGCACGTATTCTCTCCCCGTCTACACCCAAAAACAGGGTTGCCCGATCCAAATTGCTGAAAGTAGCGAGCTGAAGTAGCGAATTTGTAATAAGAGTAGCCCAATTTTTTGTTTAGTGACTGATACGGGTTTCAAAGTAATATATTTTGATATATAGAGTACACTACACGATGTTAATTGTTTTATTAATATTATTTCTGCACACACACACACACACATATATAATATATATATATATATATATATATATATATATATATATATATATATATATATATATATATATATATATATATATATATATATATATATATATATATATATATGTCGTACCTAGTAGCCAGAACGCACTTCTCAGCCTACTATGCAAGGCCCGATTTGCCTAATAAGCCAAGATTTCATGAATTGTTTTTCGACTACCTAACCTATCTTTTTCAGCTACCTAACCCAACCTAACCTATAAAGATAGGTCAGGTTAACCTATGGCCTAGAGTTGTTACATTCTTGTACAGCCACTAGTACGCGTAGCGTTTCGGGCAGGTCCCTGGAATACGATCCCCGCCGCGAAGAATCGTTGTTACAACCAAGTACACATTTTACTGTTGAGTTAAACAGAGGCTATAGTTAAGGATTTGCGCCCAGTAAATCCTCCCCGACCAGGATACGAGCCTATGACAAAGCGCTCGCGGAACGCCAGGCTAGTTAGTGTCTTACCACTACACCACGGAGATTCGTCGGCGGATTTATTTTTATTTTTTTTTATTTATATATAAAAAAGAGTTTTTAAATTCTTGTAAAGCCACTAGCACGCATAGCGTTTCGGGAAGGTCCTTAATCCTAATTTTTTTCCCGGAATACGACCCGCCAAATCGTTTAACAATCTATTATCTGCTGGGTGAACAGTTAAGGATTGGCGCTCCGTGGCGTAGTGGAATTTTGAATTTTGAAACCTGACTGACATAGCTCAACCCAACCTAACGTAACAAAATCAAACCAATCTAATTCAACCGAGCCCAATGCAGCCTAACCTTAATAACATAACCTAATACAGCCTAGCATAACAGTACATCCGGATTTAAAACAGAAAATGAGTTTAGCCGAATTGTCTCGTGTCCGCGTGTAACCAGAACCCGACCAGTTGTGTACCTATACTGGCCTAGCAAACAAACACCTGCAGACGAGGAGTCTCAATAACGTGGCTGAAATATGTTGACCAAACCACACACTAGAAAGTGAAGGGACGACAACGTTTCGGTCCGTTCTGGACCATTCTCAAGGGTGGTCCCTGTGGCTCTCAACCGTCCCTGGTATGAAAGTCGACTTAGTTCGGGAAAGATTTTAGTCGCCCGGTGTTGAACTTTCTCCAAAGCAGATATGTCTTTATAATAATCAAGTGGAAGTACACCAGAGATTTATACAGTTATATAACTACCTTTTCCTTCGTCAAAATTTCGTTTGACTATTCCAAAGGATTTGATTTGCATTTATAACTGCAGCTTCCACTTGTTGTACAACTATCAGTGATTGGTGGATTCTGACTCCAAGATAATGTTGATGATTTGGTAGTTGTGCACTGTTATGCCCCACATGGGTGAAAAAATAATCTCCTGTTTTCTGTCCTAAGTTGTGGCTTGTTGAACTTGAAATCGTTGTTCCTTGTTTGTGATTGATTGATGAAGATTAAGCTACCCAAGAGGTGGCACAAGCATGAATAGCCCGTAAGTGGAAGATTTTTTTGGAGTGAATACGATCTTTGGTTGTAAAAGGATATACTGCGTGCTGTGCTCGCATTTAAATTGTCATTCTGTGGCTGCTATCGCGGGGTGTTTGTGTTGCATCTGACCATAAATAATCATCATTGAGTTGCTTAACATTAATAGCCCAAATTAGCTCAACTTGCTTTTAAATTAGCCCAAAAAGTAGCAAGAAGGGAAATTAAAAATTTGGGAGCGCGGGGCTCTCAAAAGTAGCCCAGTTCGCTACTTGTAGCCCAATCTGGCAACCCTGCCCCACAACATTGGTCGGCCCTCACCGTCCGTGTTCGGCCCGACGGAAGGCTGGGACGTATAATGAACTGAAATTGTCGTTCAGGTGTGAATAACTTGTTTGGCGGTGTACGAAAATGGGTCCTGTAGCACCGGACAGAAACGATTGGGTACGTTTTCGTTCACCTATAGCCTATTCCCTAAGTATCTGGGAATATAGGTAACAGTTGTGGGTTGCATCCTGGAGAAGGCCCGGGCCTAAAGAAGCCTCGGTTAGCTAAAGTATATAGAAATTTTCTGTCCTTGACAACGGAAATTATAACAAAAATTTATCATAAACTCCAGGTGATAACGTTCTCATGGTAGGAACGAGGTTTATCTTATCTTTGAGCACCCGCCGCCTCTAAGATCCCACGTAGAGTCCAAACTGAGGGTCCCTCCCAAGGGCCACATTCGTGTTGTCATGAGGGCCACACACCACAACTAATGGAAGTCATTTAATAAAAAAAATATTGCAGAAAATTGGTATTAAACTTAGAAACATAGTGTGTGCATAAACATGGTTTAGCGGCTAGCCACTAAATTATCGATTCAAGCAACTTTTCCACAAATAGGCGTTAAGCTAATTGGCCTATTGTTTGACGCCAGTGATAAATCTCCTTTCTTGAAAATTGATACCACATTAGCAATTACCTTCCACGACTCTGGCACTCTGACTAATGATTTATTAAATATGGCTTCCCCACCAACATAGACCTGTTCGGCTGAAGGCATAATGCTAAGTTCCTCTTTAGTAAATACAGATAAAATATTTATTTAAAATACTGCTCATCTCTACGTCATTGTCAGTTATCTGACCTGTCTCAGTTTTTAATGGGCTATCCTTTCCCTAATCTTTGTTAGATATAATTGAAACAAACCTTTAGGATTTGTCATTGCCTGCCCTGCTAGGCGAACTTCATAGTTTCTTTTTGCCCTCCTTATCTCTCTTTAACTATTATTTGACTTCTCCATTCTTAATTCTATTGCGCCAAGCTCTCTTTCTGTCTATAAGGTTCTTCAAATCCTTTGTCATCCATTTCGGGTCATTATAATTCAATCAATCAATTTGTATGGTATACTACGTTCCTGTGCTTTGCTTAAAATTAGTTTAATATACTTATTATGCACCCCATATTCATCTTGTGGGTGGTAGTGGAAAGAGTTAGAGGCACATAATGGGCTCAGGGACTGAACCCCACAATTCATTTAGCTAAGCAAGTTACTACCCCGATGAGCTAGTTACAAAATTCGATGCACATGTCACATCAACAATTAGGTCGAGATCGACCACAAATACAGTTTCTAAATCAAGCAACTGACATATGTGGAGAGCTAGTGTCACAATTGATATGTTTGTCCTGCACACCGCCCCCCATCCAGTAGGCAGCGGTGGATAGGTTACAACCACTCAGTTATTACCTACATTAGCAAACTGGGAATATTTTGCTAAGATTTCTGGTAGCATAATTTTAAGTAAGTTATATTTTGAATCCACATCAAAATTCCCTCTTACATCACCCATCGCTAGGTCCATGTGTCGCTCCACGACCAGCCCACCTTCCAAGCCCAACTTTCCAATCTATTATATCTTCAAATATTTCTACGGCCGAATCACCTATTCGGAAATCTGGCACTTTAACCAAATTTTCTCCTACAAATCTATTCTATTCTATGCTAAATCTGATTATTATTATTTTATTAACAAAATTAGGTATATACAGCAATGTGCTGCTACCCTATTCTATATGAAAAATTGCACAGTGTAGATCAAAAACTAGCTATAAGTTCATCTAATACTCCCATATCACAGGATGGTTAGTTATACATGGAATCAGGGGAGAAAATACCTGCCTATTTCGATGTCATTAATTTGTGTCTCCCTATTAGTCAACACCAAGTCTAAAATATTATTTTCCCACGTTGGTTGCTTAATGTGTTGCTTAAGGAAGCAAGCGTCTACTAATTCAAGAAAATCTTCTGTTACGTTATTCCCTGTTCTGTTAAGCCAGTTTATTCCACTGGGTTTATTCGTGCTTCAGTATAGAAAACTGTATGCCTAACTATTTAATTTTATTTTAATTTATAAGTGTTAACAAAAATACAGCAAAAAATTGTACTTTATAATAAAGCTAAATTAATGGATACAAATATCCAAGATGTAGCCAAAGCTACCTGTGGGCTTCGAACACATTGTTTATATCCTTTCAGCCGGTGTTGGTAAACACGTCTGCCTCTTGCTCCGCCAGGGTAGTTACCCTGTGTGTGGTGAAGGTTGTTGACCACTGCGCGGTCAGAGGTGGCCAGGTGTGACACTCTGCAAGCTAGAAACCAGTTGGCAGGGCACAAACAGCTAGTTCCAGTGTCACTTATAACTCTGCGTAAACATGAACTCGCTGCCCAGGACCTGCGCTTCACTTGCCCTGAGGGTTGTTTCACTGGGCCCTAGGAGTACCTTAATGGCCACAAGGCATAAAACTACAGCATCAGGCTATGCCAGTAAAGAATATTCTGCGGATAAACAGACTCACTTTGGATTTGAGAAAGTGTCAGAAGACCAAAAGGCAGAAAAAGGTAACTGGTACCTAGAGTAGATTGTACTTGGTTGGGGGTTCTAGGAGTTTTACTGCTCCCCAAGGTCAGCCTGGGACCAGGCCTGACTTGTGAGAGCTTGGTCCAGCAGGCTGTTGGAAGGGAAGGGAACTGTACGAACTTTACAAGACTGTAAGAACTCTTGTATATATAAATAAATAAAAAAAATATATCCCGAATGATTGGGGATTGAATGCTGACCTGCATAAAGAGAGACCATTGCTCTACTGTCCAGCCCAAATGGCTGGGCACCATTCCTCTTCCCTGTCCAATCCCAAATCCTTATCCTGATCTATTCCAAGTGCTATATATGTATAGTCATGGTGGTTTGGCACTTTATCCTGATAGTTGCAGCAGCCCACATATCCACTACAGCTCAATTGGTCTGGCACTTCTTGCAGAAAACTGTCCCCTTTTTTTCTTGTAGAAGTCCAAATTTGTTCTAGCAATATTTCTTAGACTTGCTGGGTGGATATTGAACAACCATGGACCTCTGATGTTCATAGTGTTCTCCTATTGTGCCTATGGCACCTCTACTTTTCACTGGTTTTATTCGGTATTTCCTTCCATATTGTTTGTATGTATGTTGATATTTTCCTGTGCCAATTTGGGACCTGGTCCTCTAGTATTTTCCATGTATATATTACTTGATACCTCTCATCTCCTTTCTAGAGTACATTTTGGGAGCTTTGAAACAATCCCTATAGTTTAGGTGCTTTATCATGTCTATGCATGAGCTATATGTTTTCTGTATTCTCTCTCTTTCAGCAGTCCCTCCTGCTCTGAAGGGGGAAGTGAGTATTTAGTACTCAAGGCGGAACAGTACCAGGGATTTCAGTAGTATGAGCATTGCAATTGGATCCCAACATTTGAAGGGTCTCATAATTCATCCTATCATTTTTCTAGCTGACGCTATATTTGCTTGGTTATGATCTTTAAACATTAGGTCGTTAGACATCATTATTCCCAGATCCTTTACATGTTGCTTTCCTACTATGGGCAGATTTGAATGTACCTGGAGCATACCTGGAGAGGGTGCTGGGAGTTCTTTTACTCCCTGAGCCCAGTCTGAGGCCAGGCTCAACTTGTGATAACTTTGTCCAACAGGCTGTTGCTTGGAGCGGCCCACAGGCCCATATATCCACTACAGCCTGGTTGGTCCGGCACTTCTTGCAAGAACTTATCAAAGTGCCTTTTGAATACATCCACCTTATAACAATATTTCTAATGCTTGCTGGGAAAGTGTTGAACAGCTGTGGACTTCTGGTATTCAGACAGTGTTCTCTACTCTTCACTGGTTTTATTCTGCATTTCCTTCTATATCTTTTGTTCCAGTATGTTGTTATTTTACTATGAAAATTTGAGATCTGGCCTTCAAGTATCTTCCATGTATATATTATTTGATACCTTTCTCGTCTCTTTTTTTTTTTTCCAAAGCGTATATTTTGAGAGCTTCAGGACGGTCCCAATAATTTGGATGCTTTATCGTTTCTATGCATTCTGTATATGTTCTCTGTATTCCCTCTAATTCAGAGATCTCTCTTCCTCTGAAAGGGAACCAAGCAATTCTCAAGATGGGACAGTACCAGTGATTTAAATACTGTAGTATTGGCAGTGTTGTGGGGTCTCTGGATTTGAACGTTCTCATAATACATCCTATCATTTTCATGGCTGCCGCTATATTTACTCAGTTATGTTCACTAAATGTCAGGTCGTCAAACATCATAATTCTCAGATCTTTTACATGTTGCTTTCCTTCTATAAGTTGGGTTGATTGTGTCCTGTACCCTTTGTTTTGTTTAAGTTCCTCATTTCCAACATACCCAAGTACAGTAAATGGGGTGAGAATAGCTTGAGCTACCTCATCCCTTTGTGTGTATTTTACCTCAATAAACTTATTTCAATTTCAAGTACAGTACGTACCTGTAACTGTAACAGTTATTTTATTCATAATATAAAAATTTGTTTGGTACTGTATCATTTAGAAATTTTAAAAAGATGTCTTTCAACAGTGCATGGAGTATTTGAAAATGTTGCCAGCAACTATGATCTAATGAACGACATGATGTCAGGAGGAATACACCGAGTATGGAAGGACCTATTCATGTCTCGCGTACAGCCTCGCCCCAACACTAAGCTGCTCGATGTTGCAGGTGGAACTGGTTAGTTCATTTTAAATTAATTGACATGTTTTGTTTATGTGCATTTTAGGAGACACTGAGGACACTCATTTTACATGTGTGGACACAGTGGTATTTATTTTATTATTGTTTTGTTTTTTATGATAACAAGTCACAAGGTGCTGTTTACATCCAGCCTTATGAAGGGTATCAATTTAGTGTAGACAAATTAGAAATAGCAATGGAATCAGGATAGTTTTGATGGACTAAACATGTTACAGCTCTGAATGTAACCTGTTTAAGTACTCCTGTACAGAGTTTAGTCACTTTTCTTCCATCCTAGCCTACATCACCATTTTAAGCACTAACATTTTTGTGTGGCACCATATCAGAGGATTTTTGACAGTCTAGGAAGAATCGATCTACACATTTCCTTCTGCCACAACCTGGTGATCTTGTCATAAACTATCAAGTTTGTCAAACATAGCTTTTCTCCTCTAAACACATGTTTCTATTAAAAATGTTATCCTCACCAGATGCTCCAGCAATTACTCAACCTTAATTATTTCTTTAGTATATTCTATGGGATTCTTGTTAGCAAGACTGGCATGGAGTTAAGGTTTTTTGTCTGTTCACTGTCTGAGTGTGTGCCAATAGTTTAACGTTTGCTGAAGATCCTAGTTAATGAACTTTTAGTTCATGGTTAGTTCTATCAGATATCTTCTTGCTTCCTGATTGGTGACAAAAATAGTTGTGTGTTGTTTCTGTCCTGCTGACATTCCTTCCACTCCTGTTCTATTCTTTAAAACCCTCTGGAACTTATTGTCAAATTCCCTACACACCACTTAATCACTTTGAGAGTGCTTCCTAGTGTCCTTAGCATGATCATGTGATTTTTATGTTTTTCTTCATATGTGGTTATACAGCAGCTTTGGTTGGTCCTTTTGTCTTTTCATGCCGACTTGACTCAATTAAGTGACTTTCTGTTCTCTATATTTTCCATGCCTTTTTTGGTCCTGGCCTTCTCTTCCTGCATGTCCAATTGAACCAAGGGATAACTCTGCTTTCCTAATTGACATCCATCCTTACGTGATGATTGTTAGTGCAGAAGGTACAGTGAATGGACAAATGTATTTAACCTTCATTCCCCAAATTGCTTTGTTTTCCTCTTTACTTCTTGCCTACCCACTCCTTTAAAATAGGAAATATGGTAATGATGATAATGACCTATGAAGCAGTTGAATGATGCTGCAATAGATTAATTCTGGAGTTTCTTAGTGCTAATTTTCCATGTAAATAGATTAGTGTTATTTTGAATTCTGTATTAATGTTCTCTTTTTTTCTGGGCAAATATCTTCCCACCCCATGTAAGTGAGAAGCAGTAATGATATTAAATTGGCCTCAATTTTCCACCAGGGGACATTGCTTTCCGCTTCATTCGCCACATACTTCACAACCAGAGTCAGGCAAAAACAATACCAGACAGACCAGTAGTCAGTGAGAGAGGTGGTGATAGTGAAGTGCCTTATGGAGCAGATGAGCCCTCTGACAGCTGTTCTCCATATGAGGTTTGTTGTAATTCTGTCTTTATTAAATCAAGTGCAACCATTTATTTCAATATAAAAAAAAATCTGCATCATACATTATGTCCATAATGCATCGTGCATGGTTCCTCAAACCATGCACTTATATGGCGGACCCAGACAACAAAATGTGCCTGCCTTTTTTACTTGCTTTCTTGTTGTGATGGCTATCTTGACTGTCTTCACTTATCATCCGGTCGTGTCAAATGAGGATGGGAGGCAGTGTAGAAATTACCATCCACCACCTGAAGATAATTAAACACAAAAAAAGGACACATTATGCCCCTTTCAAACAAAACCTTTAATCCCCAAAGCAAGGCAAATATCACTAGTTTCTGAATTACCACTGAATACATAGCCTGAATGAAATTAGATGGCAACTCGCTGCATATAGATAAGAGATGGAGAGCTTGCAAATTTGCTTGAAGCCCAAACCACCCCCAAATTCTTGAATGTTGAGCCAAAAAAGGAGGAAACAAGCAACAGAGAAATCTTGAAAAGTAGCAACACCCTTTCCTGAGCTAAGCCCACCAGTTGCTGTCCAAGTCAGCTCTCATGAAGGGAAACAGGAAAGTAATTAACCTATAATTGAAACAGTTAGTTTAGTTCATTTATTATGCACACCATACCCATCTTGTGGGCATAGAAACAAACGTAACAAATGTTGAAAAATTATCAAACCGGTAGACAATGTAAACAACCCAATATAGAATGGTTCAAACTGGCATTAGAGTGCCAAAGATCATGAAGATCAATGACATGCATGCCTGAGGTCAGCGTCAACAAAAATAGGGACTTAAGAAAATTAGCAAAAAACAAAACATCTAATGGTCAAGATAACTCCAGTAGAGCATGTAGAGGGAAACATGGAGAAATGCATGACCTAGATGCAGAAACAAAGAGGACAAATCCAGAACAAAACCCAACAACAGCGACTCAGAGCAGACTGGTATGACACAATGGTGTTCACAGTGAACAACGGTCCAAGAACAGCCAAGATGAAAAGAGGCTCAAACGAGGTTCTGACACAAAGAAACATACTGGAGTACACAGAGCTTGAAGAAAAGCCAAGCAACCCCATACTTGTGGTGAGAAACAGCTTACAGATGAGAGGAGATCCATAGGCAGCCTTTCATTCAGGATACATTATAAATTTCCTAGGACAAAGAGCAGATTGGTGAAGACTTAGTTACTGCAGCTGCAAGTCTACTGGAATGGATGAAGACCCAAGAGTGGAAACAGATTCAGGCAGTGAATGAGAAGTGCTGGGAATCAGGGCTGAAGTGGCCACTTTAAAGCTACTAAAATAATAACATGCAAAGCTATTTAATTATGACAGAAAGAGTGTAGCCTCAGGAATAGGGGGGGACTCCACATAGTTAATGTGTTTATCGTGTGTGTGCGGCCACCAGGTAGCAAGTAACTTTGCCAGCTCCTCCATCTTGATATACATGTAGAGTGCTGCTATCTAGTGGCAGTTGAGGGTTGTGGCTAGCAGTACTTTAGTATAAGAGCAATAATTTTCCTAGTGAATCCAAGATTTCGTTAGTAGTTGGGTCTGAAGTATTTGTTCTGCTTTGTTCAAGAGAAAGCTGTCTCTTGATGTAGGATTAAGATTTCATCATGTTTCACTCCTTATTTGATCTAGTATGATGATTAGCAAAGATGCCTCAGTCAGGAAGCAGAACCAACCCCAATTCATTGCAGTGAAGAATTCATTGTAATAGGAAATGCCTCCAGGATGCATTTCCCACATCCTATGAGCTGATTTTAGTTAGCAAAATTGTTATTTCAACTTATAAATAGTAAACTACCAAATGAACATGGCTGCCAAAAAAATTTAATCACATCTAGGTTGTTTCTCGCATCCCCAGCCTCAAAACTCATTTTCAAAAGGTACAGTAGCAGGATCATACCTGAGTGATCGAAAACTTTGCCTGCTCAGAATAAAAACAAACCATAGAATTTGATTTTAATTATCCTCGGCAACTTTACTAAGGCTCCAGCTGTTTCTTGTAATGTTGAGTCCATCTGCAAGTATCATCAAAACCATGATTGGAGCCATATCAATAGTTACCATTCATACTCTAATATTTTTGACACTCGGGATTGATTTCAATAAGGGAAATTTTAATTTCAAACTGTTATATGAAAGGTAACTATCAAGAGAACCTGTCTGTAAAGAGATTTAACTACATCTAGCATTTTCCCTATACCCTAGTCTTCAAATCTTATTTTCAAAGAAAAAGGACTCATATTGTTGAATGAAAACTGGGGAATCTCAAAATAAAATTAAACCATAGAATTTGGTTTTAAATTGAGCTCAATGGCTTTCCTAAAGTCCATTACTATTTTTTGTAATGTTGTCCCTATTTGAAAAAAATAATTAAAAATGTGTTTGGAATCATATTAAGTGTTGCCAGTCATTCCAAATATTTCCCACACTTTGGGCAGATTTTGCTAACCCAGATTATATTTTCAACCCGTCATATATAAAGGGCAAAAACAAGGAGAACCTGTCTGTAAAAGATTTAACAATGTCTACCATGCTTATGCCCATGCCTTGAAATCTCATTGTCAAAGGAAAAAGGGCCCATATTTTGCTGAACAAAAACCTCTGCAACTGGGGGAGAAAAAACAAAACAGAATTTGGTTTTAAATATGCTCAGTGACTTTCCTAAAGCCAAACTATTTCTTGTAATATTGCCTCCATATATGAACTCAGTCCTAACATCCTAAGCAAATCCACACATCCCCTGCTTTAGCGAACTCTTGTTTGTTGAATCGGGTAAATAAATCTGGCATGGAAGGTGTGTCCCAATTGAAGATTCGCCGAATCGAGGTTTATTGAATCATTGAATCGAAATTCCACTGTACAGTACAGTATTATATACAAGTTTGTTCTGTGAAAAGTTCTGTATTTGCAAGTCTGCATTTCCTTGGCCACTAAAAGTATGTGTGTGTATGTTGCAGATTACCATATGTGACATAAGCCAAAGCATGTTGGATGTAGGCAAGAAGCGAGCTGATGAGTTAGGTTACAAGGGAATCAAGTGGATCTGCGGAGATGCCCAGAAGCTTCCATTTCCTGATGACGAGTTTGATTGCTACACTATTGCCTTTGGAATCAGAAATGTGGTAGATGTGGAGAAGGTAAATACTTCATCATTAATCCTACAGCCAATAAGTTTTTCTGTGATCTCTTATTATGGTACATCCAATACCTGTAGCAATAAATTTTATATTATTATTCAGCAAAATCCAGGCCTCGTACTATTTTTAGTTATTATGTTTTATAGACATTATTTTCTTTTTCATGTGAAATAGGCCTTAGGCCTTGTTAGTCATCAGTTGTGTACAAGTACAGGGTATTGTATTTTATGTAATCTATGCATTATTGTTTTGTTTTTGTGTTTAGGCAATGATTCTCAATTTTTCCCTGTCTGCAGCTTATCCAAACCACCAAGCCATTCTTATACCTGTCCCCCCCTTCCCCCAAGTTGATGAAAAAACATAGTCCTAAAACAACAATTTTATGCTAATTTTTTTATGCCACTCTCCTAAGATGAGCCATGTTTGATCACAGCATCCTCACACTCATAAGAAACGAGGCCTTCACTCCTAGCGGTCCAAGCATCCTCTTAAGAATCCAAGTCAAACCAATGCCTCTATAACTTGTAAATGTAATAATTTTTGTATATGCTTTTAATATTTCATGTGTGCACCATCACTACATTGATGTATCTTGTGTGCTAGAGGCTATTAATTTGTCTGTTATTTGAGCTAACTTGGTTAAAAAATTATGCGTTGAGTGTAATGGAATGAGTCTTTCTAGTAGAGCCCCAGTTGCACTCTGTAGCTGTCTCACTGAGATTGCTACAATCTACCAATCACATCAGTTTCATGAGTTCATTTAGTCCACTAGGGCCAAGTTTTGGCCCCTGGCAGCTTAGTGGTTTTAAAGTTTTGTAAGCACAGCAGTTCTGTAAAGCTTCACTGACTTTCTGGATGCTTTTCTGGTGAATTGGTGGAATGACATTTGCTCTCTCTGCCTCATATGAAGCGGCCAGGTTTTGGCTCGGGTCCCTGGTAGGCCAAATGAATTTGTGCAACTGATGTGATTGGTAGACTGGAGCAATCTCGGAGAGATGCTACAGGGAGCCATTAAGGGCCTCCCCCACAGATGCTGTTATTCCATATTTCAACTTTGCCAAGCATCCCACACACTGAAATAGATGCAATACAAAAATAATGGTCCTAAAAAATATGCAGTTTTTTAAAAGTACAGCATTTATAGTATTGATAAGAATGTTGTTTATCTTTCAGGCCTTGGTGGAAGCGTATAGGGTGCTCAGACCTGGAGGACGATTTGTGTGTCTGGAATTCAGCCAGGTGACAAACCCAGCATTGAGATGGTATGTTGACTTTTCTTAGATATCTATCATCTCTATTCACAACTAGTTGTTTAGAATTATAATTTCATAATTCCTTTTTAAACACATTTATATAAGGACTCTGTTTACCACTAAAACAAAAAACTTATCATTCGCACCGACTCGTACATTTGGGCAGGAAATACATCTCATTCTTGAATACAATATTCAGAGTACCTGTAGTTGAGACTAGTTCTACTGCAGTTCATCCTTTTTGTATTGCCCTATAATCAGACTTTTAAGGTATGTAAAGGAAAACTTACCCATAGGATCATTTTGCTATTCTTTAGGGTAAGACCCATTGTTTCCATAGGACATGATCATTACTTAAAGCTGATAACATTCTGCCCCCAGTGACACAGGGAGGTTTCAAAATGTGTCTGCAAGGTCGTTAAGGTGCTAATGAGGGAATTATTCATTATCCTTTTCCTTGCACTCGCTATGTCTGCCCTGCTTCTTCCTGGCTTCACTATCCTCGTACTTCTCCTCCTCCTCTATGCTCAAACTTGTGTACCCAAACCATCTTAGTACAATCTCACTTTTGCAATTACAGTATTGATATTTGCACTCTACATCTACCCCACATGTTTCAAATTGTCAATTTTCATACCCTACAGACTAACATGAGAACATAGACTGGAGCTGTGTCTGTTCCAATCTTGTTTTCGTAACCAGGTCTTTCATTGTACTAGTTACATTCTCTCCCTGAATGACCCCTTCCCTCGACTTCAATTGGAAAAATTTATCCCTTTCTCAATTGAACATCCCTGATGTTTACAGTGATGTGACCACTGTTAGCATCTCACCATTCACACTCATTTCACCATGTCCTCTCTCTTCTACCATAGCTTTACTTTTACCTGAATTTACTTGAGGACCACTGTTTCCTTAGTGGCCTCAATGAAGACAGGAAGCCAGTGGCTAGTCAAAGGTAATCTCCCCCCCCCCCCACTTGTCCTGATCTCATGGAGCTGGATCTTGAATTTCAGCATCGTTTTGATATTAATGGCTTTGGTGGGTAGGCCTTCTGTTTTCTATCCTACATTGTGACTTTTGTGTAAATCCATTTCTCTTTGTGTTACCTCTGACCTTTTAAAAGAATCAGGTCAGAATCAGCATCCTCCAAGTTCTTCAATACAATATATTAAAAGTTTCTATGAGATCAATCATGACATGTCTGGTTTGTAGTGTTAGTCCTGTGGCCCTTAACCGTTCCTGGTATGAGAATTGACTTGGTTCTGGAATGATTTTCGTTGCCCAGTGTTGAACTTTCTCCAAAGTAAAAAAGTCATTCTGAAGACGAGGTCTCCATTCCTGGATATAGTGTATTTCACTTGGATACTCGGATCTAAGTAGGGGTACACCAGAGATTTGTCCACCGTCGCTTAACAGTTTTATGATGCACACACAACATTTTCAACCTAGTCTACATAAATCTCTTTGCTTAAAAAGAGCTGTATCATCTGCATATACTGTATAAAATTTAATGTAAATTACTTCAATTTCCCAGATTAGGCCTGCGCATAAAAAGAAATATCGCATGGCATGTTGGAAACCGAGAGAACTATCCTAGTGGATAGTGTTTGATGGCACACATTATATAGAGCTTGTTAAATAGAATGATGGCTAAAGGTCAGAGTAATTGACTATTTTGCTGGAAAGATGATGTTGAATAAGGAAGAATATGCAGTCATGTTTGATTTCTGTTGGCCATTGAAATGATTTCCCCCCCCCCTCCCCCCCCAACACTCGTCTACATAGCTTGACTTTTGGCAGGGTGTATGATCAATATTCGTTCAACGTCATCCCACCTATGGGTCAGGTCGTGGCAGGTGACTGGAAAAGTTACCAGTACTTGGTGGAGAGTATACGCAAATTTCCTAACCAGGTAAGCTTTAGTTTTTCTTTAAGTACAGATTTATACATAACACTACAGTATATATATTAGATACTGCTTTCTATTCCTTATACAGTATCTTAGAATATAGTAATTTTATTATATTTTTTAGGAAACCTTCAAAGATATGATTGAAGATGCTGGCTTCAGACACACAACATTTGAAAATCTTACATTTGGAGTCAGTGCCATTCATAGTGGTTTCAAGATATGATAGCACTTGTCTTTAACATGTAATTTTGGTCATCTAAATGAAAATGTAGGGTAAATTGCATTGTAATTGTATTCAGGATTTTGTTCTTAAAGATTAAGAAGTCTTTTGAGATCTTTTACAAAAGAGGTACATATTAAACTTCGGTAAATTGTTTACGAGTTTTGGCTGTGTCTCTTTTGTTTCCTTATATTTATTCATAAGTCAAATGCTCTGAAAATAGTTTTGTGAGCATTTGAAAAGGAAAATAAATGTAAATTAAAGTAAACCTTATTGATTGCATTTTCTAAAGGAAAGATGGAGTGTCGCCTAATACATGGGTTAGCTGACAGTAAATAAAAGAAGGTAGCACGTCAGGAAGACTATTCAGCACCATGTATGTCATGGGATATTCAAAAGGTCCTAAATATTGCTCTATATAAGGCTAATTATGTCAAGGGCATCAGGTTCACAAAGATTCTGTTGAGGGACACGTGCCCAAATGGACATTGGGAAAGTAAGACTTGCAAATATCTTGAAAAATGAGGACATAACACTAGGAGGCACAAAACTGTATGTGGAGAACATGGTTCGGACACAGCAGACAATCAATTAGAGTTGTAGTGTCTTCGGGAAGAGTTAAATTGGACAATTAGTGTCTTGGCAAAGTAAATTTGAGTTATAAGTGTGTAACATTTTTGGGCATATAGGTAGCCTGTGCAAGCAGGAAGAGGCATGGAATATAAACTGTAAGAGGTTCAATGACAAGATTTTTTGTAAAGGATTCTACATGTACTATTTAGAACAAAGTTTATACCAAGAAGCAGACAGGCTTTTCTTTAAACTCAGGCATAAGAAATATGAGAAAATTAATTATTATCTTAAATTTTATTAAATTTTGTTCTTCCAAATGTTAGGTAAGAAATGATACTCCAATTAAGATGCATCAGCTACAGGACTGACATCTTCCCCGTTTCGCAGGATTGTCCTGTTCATATATGCCACTCACACCATTCTAAAGAACTTTGTAATTCTGATGATCATCTGAAAAAGAGACACACTCAAGGTTTTTAATTTGAACTGTTAAGGTTTAGACAAGATAACAAATATTAAGAAATTACTGTTGTCCTTGATGTAAGAAAATGTTGTGTATTTTGTTGTTTGTGTTATTAATTATTGTAATTTGTAACTTGTTTATTAAAGATTTAAATAATTTAGTGCAAATAATTGAGCCTACTACTACAGATACCGCTAGATATCCTAACCATTTAAATATATAATTTTTCTTATTAAAATTTATAATTTTCATAAGTTTTATATTACAGTATATTAGGCTCAACAGTATTTGACATGGCTGGTCAAATGATGTTCGTATCATTAACACCTATTTGAGGATCAAGGCTTTTTCCGCATTTCACAAGAAACGTGTGTGAAATCTTTTAGCAGTCAAAGATATGATTTCAGAAAAGATACTCTGAAAAACATGATCTTGAGCCATACCAGATGTCCTGACGGATGGCCACTAACCTTTTCAAGACTGTCAAGAGACTGTTGATAAGTTTCGTCAAGGTGGGGGTTCAGGACTGTCTTTACAGTGTGCAAATCTTCCAGGCAGGAATGTAGGTTAACATTATCATCATTTATCATCTGCAAAATATTTGTGACAGCATTCTCAAGCCTGCCAAAAGAAAATGAACACTAGTTACCCTTACAGTAATGAATAATAATTAATGCACAACATATACAGTATGCATACATATAGATGGAAAAACTGCAGCAGTTTTTCATACAGTATACCAAATGTCACATCAGAGACATATGTCTCTGATGTAAATGAGAAAGATAAGTGGAACAAGTAGACTACCCTGTGGAACACCATTGTTAATTGGTACAGTGTGGAAATAGCATTGTTCAGAAGTGTGTTGGGAGTACCCAGTGTGTAGGGTTGAATCCTCCATATGCCTCCTACTGATTTCTCATCAATACATCATGTTAAATTTTAAAAATTATGAATCATAATAATCATATTTGAATAATATTTACCAGCATACATAAGGTTTGCTTCTCACCATCCGTATCTTAGTCTTTACATCTGGTTAAATTTTTCTAGCAATCCTTACCTGACTTTCTCCTCCGAAGTGAGTTCTGTAGCCGCTTCTTGAACCCTCGTCTTCAAATATTTATAATCCCTGCAAGAAATATATTCGATGGTCATTTTTTTTCTGCTATCAATTGTGGGGGACTTGCAATTCATTTAATGTCTACATGTCTACTGTAAGTTTCTACATAGTTTATTATAGTTTTGTTTAGTGGTACATATAATTTGGTAAGTGCATACATAAAACATGATTGTTTGGTGTGCAAAGAAGACAAGATAGATTTCCATATGACAAATTAGTGTAAAAGTATACAATGTATTAATGGTATAGGTATGGATGTGTGCTTTTTGAGTATATGCTATAAATGCAACAGAAAATAAGAGCATGGTTTGTACAATTTGCCAGAATGGACAGTACTGTACATGGAAGTGGCATTGTGTCAGTTGTTTAGAAGCAGAGCTGTGATTGTCTTATTGCATAAAAATAAGGGTTAATTTTGATGTTGAATATCTTCTGCATATAGTTGGAAAGCACATTATGTGCCAGGATTGTGATGGAAAGAATAGAAGATAACCAAGAAACTGGTAGGTGAGGAGCAAAGGGGGGGGGTTCCATGATGGAAGACATTGTGTGGATCAGATAATTGCATTGAGGTATTTATAGAAAAAGGGTGCAAGTTTAAGTGTACTACTGTAGATGCCCTTTATAGATTGTGAAAAATATAAGACAAATAGAAGATATATGAGCATATATGGAGTTAATAGAATCCTGTTAAATCCAGTGAAGCATTTAATATTATTTTTATTTGTGTACAGTATTTTATTAATGTAACAGAAAGAGCGATTGTCTATATCCGTGCTATCCTTCTCCCTCCTGGAAGCTTCCCATCTGTGATGTGGCCACAATAGATGTTCCTCCAGGAAGCTCCACCACCACACACACTTTTCATTCTTACAAACACAAACTCCCTCATACTTTTTCACACTTTACTATTTACTAAGACACTGGTTATCTGCCTCTATCATATAATCCCTTTATTTGATCCTTGTACACACTTCTCTCACCACCTAGTGTTTTGTACTTAATAAACTCAACATTTTATCCCCCCCCCAACCCTCTTTCACTTGCTCCACATCTCTCATACACTTCCTCATTCCTATACCCACACACAGTATGCTAAGACCTCTCTTGCCTATTTATTGCCTGTCTCTACTTCCTCATCACAATCGACTTGAGAATGGTCCAGGACGGACCGAAACGTCGTCGTCCCTTCACCTTCTAGTGTGTGGTCTGGTCTACTTTAGCCACGTTATTGTGACTCATCGCCTGCATGCTAAGACTATGTACTTTTCTATAAAAAAAAAAAAATCTGGTTTTCTGCATGTACTCGAACACACTGCTTCTTATCCATACCAAAGTTTAACTACCATGTCAGTGCTGGGAGTAAGGTACATCTGTCTCTTCTTAACTTTTATTCTACCATTCCTTTCTTTCTTTATACTATTTGCCTTGCTACAATTTTTTTAGTTTCAGATTTTGTTGTTTTCATTTATGTTTAGTTTTCAGCGAGTGATAAGACTCACCTGAGTATACGCTCGTCGGTGATGCCCAGAAGACGTAGAAGAGTGAAGGTGAAATTCTCCTTTCTTAACTCCATAGAAGTGCCAGTCAGTTAAGTAGTTGATTAAAGTTGTATGGCAAGTTGTCCATCAAGACAGAGGTGGATTCAGAAATAGTGATGCATATTTCATTGATATAGCCAAGGTATAATTTGAAGTTGAGGCCAGCAGTATTGTCAGTAGGTGACAATATAGCAAAATTAGTGCCAGTCATGACAGCATTTGATTTATCAGTTGATTTGTAGGATGCAGTAAGAGCAGCAGTCGATGTAACACCACAAATAGCAGCAAAAAAAATTAGCACTTGCTGTTAAACCTTAAAAAAGTACTGTACAATACATAATTGGAAAAGTGCAAAGACAGAAAACCTGACTATATTTGCTTGGTACAGTATAGTGATCAGGGAAAGAATGTAGGATTCAATAATACTGGAGATATATTTAATTTAAAAACAAGAAACATGATATTTCTTAATGCCAGAAATTTTAATTGGAGAAAAAGAACACATTCATTGCTACATGTAGTTGTTTTCCATTGCCTCACATTTTCTGCAAAGAAAATTTGTAATAGTAAATGTGAATTAGTAATTGGATTAATACGTACCTCAAGTACCTCAATTCAGTGCTAAAAATTTTCTTGTATAAACATAGTTTACTACTTTAGGCATTAAAGCAAGTGAAACATATTACAGCTGCCTCAGGGACCATATAAAGAGCTTGGAAGTAATATGACACTGAGGAGACTTGGGGAAAGCTGGGTTCTAATGAATGTATTGTATTTATTTTCAGTTAGATACAGTATCTCCAAGTCCATCTCCTAGGATGCCAAGGTGTGATTTTGGATAGGCTCTGGTTACTGATCTTCACTTTTCGTGGATCTTGCAGTCCTGTTTTCTGTCACAACCTGTCAAGTGGTTCTTATGTAGCTTTCAGCATCCTTTCAGTCACATTTCTGTGGCCTAGGCAAGTATTAATAAGAGATTTGTCTATTTTATCTTCTGGTACTAGATTCTGAAGGAAGCAGCAAGCTAAAATAGCTAAAAAAGTAAGGACTTTCCTCAGTAAACCATTTTGTGGCTCTAATTCATTAGGTTCCCCTCTTATGGTTAGACTATTTTTGTCAGAGTATATGGAAGGCTGTGGCTACCTAGTAATGCATAAAAATCAGTATTACTGTGCTTTAATTTTTATTCATACGTCAGATTTTTTTTTTGGGGGGGGGGGAGTGAGGTACATTGTGAAAGGGAGGTTTGAGTTTTGTAAACGAACCTCTGGTGGTTATTTTGCGTGGGAAGGGACTCTCCAGTAATTCCTTGTCATCCTGCACGGACAGTTTGAAAATATCCCTGTGGTTCCTACTTAAAAGTTCAGTAACATACCTGACTGCATTTAACCTACCCAATAGACACAGCAAAACTTACCTTAGAGCAGCACAATGGTCTGGTAAAGAAAGCAAGTCTACCATTATTAATATAAACTGGGTTTAACTTAAGTCTTTAATTTTTTTTTATTAGCCTTAAATATTGTGGTTGGGAATTTGCTTGAAAGTAAGCAGACAATAAGTCACCATAACATAGTTGAAAATCAGACACCCAACCCACAAACATAAAAATAGAGGCAGTGACAACATTTTGGTCCGTCCTGGACCATTATCAATGACTTGATAGTGGTCCAGGACGGACTGAAACATTGATACTTCCTTTACTTTCAGATTTGTGGGCTGAGCATCTACTTGAAAATAAGTCGATCATTAATTAGTGCCCATATAATAAAAATATCCATGTTATATCAAGTATTAATATGTACTGTACGATACAGTGCATAAATAAATGCATAAATATATGCATTTATTTTAAATGAGTACTGTACTGTATTACAGTATTATTATAAATCTTACAGTTGGCACTCTCATGATGAGACTTACATTTTTGGAAGATTGTCCTCGAAGTGCTGAAGGACATTTAACACAGAGTTCCAGACGTTCCCATCTGCAGGAAATATTTAAAGTTCATTGAGAAATAGAAGAACATTGCAGGGAGAATGGTAGATGGGAAGGCTTGTTTTGAAAGTTAATGAGAGGCAGAACAAATTTGTGTTAACAGAATTCTGCGAGACATAACGAGAGATAAAAAGAAGAGTTTTGTGGAAGATAGCAAGAGAAGTGTGCTATAAAATATATACAGTATCAAGAAATTGAAGATACTCTACAGCTCTATTATTATTATTACTATCTTTATATTATCCTTGGTACTTTAAGCTGTTATTACTGGTTGTGCCTCACCTTTTACTTTATGAAGTAATTGGCTGGTGTGGTTGTGTGGCAGGGTGATTTCTCTTGCTCCAACCACAGCTACCACTGCTACCACCACAACTACACTTGCATGCATCCCTGTAGAGTTGGGTTGCAAATATTATATTTCATACTGGAGGATTTATGGCTCAGAGGTAGGGACCCCAGAGCTAGAGCTCCATCTGTGTTATCACAGGTTGTTTAGGCACATACATCAGCTTAAAATTTAGTTCTTGTAGAGGGGCTCACAATTATTGAAGGTCTGTGAGGAAACTTCACAGATTCTGCGATGGTTTGACAAATAAGCAAAGACAAATACCCAGAACTGTGTGAATGAGTACCACACCAAGTGATAATACAACACACAGTAGTGACAGCAAAAGAGGTGAAGAATCACCTTAAGAGCTCGAGACATAAGTCATTGGAAGTGAGACAATTACTCACTGTAGATAGTACAGGCAGGGCCAGACACCTTAAGACAGCCCCTTCAAGATCTATTAGTCATTGAGCTTAATGTCTGTTGTGGGGAAATTGCTTGACTCGATAATCGTAATTTGTATACAAAGGTAGAAGAGCATAGTATTGTGGAGGTTATATAAAGTTAGTTTAGAGCATATAGTTATTTAAAAAGGAGAAGGGTTACCATGAGTATTTTAATGTTAAGACTGGAAACCATTATAAGTGGAGTACCCATAGTTTCATCCTTGAACCTCTTTTGTTTATCATCTTAATAAATCATTTAGACACGTTTGAACAGCAAATTTAGATTATGCATAAAGGTTGGGAAATTAATTCAGAAGACTCAATATTGCTGCGAGACGACTTGGGCTTTTAAAATGGACAAAAGGTGGCAATCGAGTTACCACGTATCTTCAGGACAATGGTAAAATTGCATAATCTGCAAGCAAAAACAATAGTGGGTGTTGTAGCAAGGAGTTCAAGCCTATAGAAATCAAGATATAAGTGTTTATAATAGGCAAATAGGGTACAAGAATTCAAAACAAATTGTTCTCACCAGCGACCAGAGGGAAATGAATCTAGTTCTTGTTGTGTTGTGTTGTGTTGTGAAGGTTGTGGTGGTGGTGGTGACCTATCAGTGACTACAGGGGAGTGAAATATATTATGCCGCATCTCTTACAGAGGTGGTGGTGACAGGTGTGATGGATCACATCGGATATAGGGGGTCATATCTGATAATGCTCAGTTTTATCATTGTACGTTGTGTGTGATGGTGTGTGTACATATTATCCATCTGTACGTGTAACTGGGTGGCACCTCCTGGGAGCTCGTTGCTAGGTGGCACCTCCCAGCGATGTGTATATTATACCGTACATAAGTACCTTTATTTTAGGTAACTGTTGTGGGATCCATCTTGGAGAAGGTTAATCATTGCCCTAAACCTAGGGCATCTCGATAACCCTAACACGGTTTCAGAGGTACAAAACCATGAACACTTACCCATACAATTATGACATTATATGTGGCCTTGATAAGGGCAGGAAGACGGCTGCTTGCGAAAGGTCTCTCTATTTGTCCTGATGGTTTTATTGAGCTTGATCTTCAACTGCAGAAGTATTTTGATCTGTGTGTGTTAAAATATCATTAAAACGAGAAAAGGGGGGGAGGAATGGGGACTGGTAGATTGCATATTGTCAGAAGGTATCTGATACTGCCACTCTTGAAGGCTGGTGTACGACACAGACAAGCTGGGTTAACCGAGAAAACACTGAAGTGTGCAAAGGGATTACCTGAAGGGTTGAAAACATAGGGATTAGAGAGGAGGTAGTACTGAAGGGTTGTATTAAGTAGAGTCTCCTCAAGGCTCGGTATTGGAACCATTATTGGTTCCATTATTATTACAGAGCAGACAGTCTCCTCAAGGCTCGGTATTGGAAGTGGAAGGAACTGAAAGTAATAGTTGTGGAAGTCACCTCCATTTACATTCTTAAGACCAGAGTCGGCAAAGAATTCGACCATCAGTAAAGTTAGAGCAAACACGCAATAATCACAACAAGGCCAGTAGGCGGGTGTATGAAGAGCTAGACCTCGCTTCCCAGTAGTCAAGTTCAAGTAAGTTTATTGAGAAAAGGAAGTACATCTCAAAAGAATAGAGTAGCTTAAGTTATTTCAAACACAGTACAATAGTCCTTGATAAGTTACCCATCCCCCCCCCTCCATCAACATGTCCTCCCCCCCTCCATCAACATGTCCTCCCCCCCTCCATCAACATGTCCCCCCCCTCCATCAACATGCCCCCCCCTCCCTCCATCAACATGCCCCCCCCTCCCTCCATCAACATGCCCCCCCCTCCCTCCATCAACATGCCCCCCCCCCTCCATCAACATGCCCCCCCCCTCCCTCCATCAACATGCCTCCCCCCCTCCCTCCATCAACATGCCTCCCCCCCTCCCTCCATCAACATGCCTCCCCCCCTCCCTCCATCAACATGCCTCCCCCCCTCCATCAACATGCCTCCCCCCTCCATCATCATGCCCCCCCCCTCCATCAACATGCCCCCCCCCCTCCATCAACATGCCCCCCCCCTCCATCAACATGCCCCCCCCCTCCATCAACATGCCCCCCCCCCCTCCATCAACATGCCCCCCCCCCTCCATCAACATGCCCCCCCCCCCCTCCATCAACATGCCCCCCCCCCTCCATCAACATGCCCCCCCCTCCATCAACATGCCCCCCCCCTCCATCAACATGCCCCCCCCCTCCATCAACATGCCCCCCCCCCTCCATCAACATGCCCCCCCCCCTCCATCAACATGCCCCCCCCCTCCATCAACATGCCCCCCCCCTCCATCAACATGCCCCCCCCCCCTCCATCAACATGTCCGAGCAGTGACACGCGCGTCCGGCCCCGCCCCGCGCGTGTCGCCTCAGCTGCTCCATGGAGTAACAATCCTCGTTTGTCAACCCAATTACCATTTAACCACCTTCACTCCTGATGTATTGGCCTTAGCGTTTGTCAGGGTCAGGCAAGTGGGTTGTTGGTGTTGTATGTGTAGGGGTGTGGGTTTATATGTAGGGTGGGCGTATGTGTGGGGTGGGTTTATGCGTGAGTATGTGGTTATGTGGTCACCTATCAATATTTGCCTATCGGTGTTTACAGGGAAGTAAGGTGTAGCTCTTTATACCCCGCCTACTAGCCTTTTGAGCCACGAGAGACATCTCCCGTCACGCAGGGTGCAGCCGCACCTCCACAGATCTCCAGTATCATCTATTGATACTGGTAATGGCTCAAAAGGGCCACCACTTACGGGCTATTCATGCCCGTGTCACCTTTTGGGTGGCTTAATCTTCATCAATCAATCAATCATCAGCCTTTTGAGCCACAGTTACAGCCCCGCTCCTGTGCCAGGTAAGTCTACTACGGGCTCACCATAGCCTGTGCTACTTTGGAACTTTTGTTCCGAGTAGCTGAATCTAAAACAACAGCAACAACAGCCTTTTGAGTGCGCATGTGTGTGTGTGTGTATTCGCCTAGTTGTACTTGCGGGGGGTTGAGCTCTTGGTTTTTGGTCCCCCCTCTCAACTGTCAATTAACTGGTGTACAGATTCCTGAGCCTACTGGGCTCTATTATATCTACATTTGAAACTATGTATCGAGGCAGCCTCTACCACATCACTGCCTAATGCATTCCATTTGTCAACTACTCTTGACACTGAAAAAGTTCTTTCTAACGTCCCTGTGGCTCATTTGGGTACTCAGTTTCCACCTGTGTCTCCTTTGTGCGTGTACCACCAACCGTGTCGGTGTGTGAGAGAGAGAGAGTGACAGAGTGAGAGGGAGGGAGGGAGGAAGGAGGGAAGAAGGGAGGGAGGGAGGGAGGGAGGGAGGGAAGGGAGGGAAGGGAGGGGAAGGGAAGGGAGGGAGGGAGGAGGGAGGAGGGAAGGGAGGGGAGGGAAGGGAGGGGAAGGGAAGGGAGGGGAAGGGAAGGGAGGGAGGGAGGAGGAGGGCAGGAAGGGAGGGTGTTGCTGGGTAGGGTATGACTGAGGATAATCCACAAGCTGAACTATCTTCAAAACCAACGATAACTCTACCTTAGAAAAAAGCTTGAAATACGTGCTTTAATTAAAGAAGTTTCGAACAAAGACTGGAGTTACCGTAGAGTGCAGTTACCCCACACTGTGATGAGATGCCCCAATACCCAACCCGTCACTCACCCGTCCCTCACCAAACACTCACCCGTCTTTAACCCAACACTCACCCAGATACACCCACTTAGAGATTTTATTAAGCCAGAGTTCGACTTCCATCTGGCAACTAAATAACAGGATGAGTCTTTCACACGGCATAATGACAAACTGGGGTTTTCTCAAATATACAGGAAGCTGCTGTTGTTGTTATAGATTCAGCTACTCGGAACAAGTTCGAAGTAGCACGGGCTATGGTGAGCCCGTAACTTACCTGGCACAGGAGCGGGGCAAGTAGCACGGGCTATGGTGAGCCCGTAGTGAACTTAGCTGGCACAGGAGTGGTGCTGTGTCTGACCACCAACTTGCAAGAGGGCAGGTGGTGTTATAGCGAGCCGTGTTGGTGTACAAGTACCCGGTCACCAGGACCTGGCACTGGTACACCATCACCAGAGACGCACCAACAGTCCCATTACCTGAGGTGGAAGGCTACCTACCACCTCCCATCTTTCCAACCCCTTCATGGGACCCGCAGGCTGGCCATTGATGCTCTCAATCTACTAAAGAGCTCAGCGGGCAGGCTGGTGTGTCCAGGGAAGTGGAGAGACAGACAGAGACTCTCTCTCTCTCTCTCTTCCCCCACCCGCCCCCTTAAGAGTTAATATTTACCAAGCCGAGTGAATGACAGTTTACCTTATAGAGACGCGACAGCTCGTCTCTTCACCTGTTTTCTCAGGTAAAAGCTCTGACAATTGTTTACATAATTTTTGTTTACGTGTTGAAGTATTTTGGTGCTATGTTTTGTTTTTTTTGTTCGCTACGTGTGAAGATTTGTACTTTGATATATTGTGTCTAAGATCCGTAGGAAATATGTGCGGTTGGGAATTTTTTTTTTTTTTAATTTTGCCCCGAGGGGCAAGTGCCACCACCACCACCATTACCACCACAACCACCATTACCACCACCACCATAACCACCACCACCATAACCACCACCACCATAACCACCACCACCACCATAACCACCACCACAATCACCACCACAATCACCACCACCACCGTGTAATGGCCCCATCATTAGAGCTTCAAATTTCCGGTCGACTGATAACGCGATATTAAGCAAATGACCTCACGTGTGTTGGCGGGAACATGGAAGAGCGCGGGAGTGGGGGACGGTGTGGTGTAGCTCTCCCCTCTATTACTCTCTTCCTCACCTCTATAACCCACCATTCCCCCCCCCCCTCTTGAAAACCTAAACCAGAAGCAGGAGCAGCCCGTCCTCCTAATAGAGCGTCGCATTTTGACGTATGCGTTACCTCAGGACAAATATCACCGTACTAGAAAATGATAACGGCTCGCGAATTTGACATACTGTCTCCGTTTTCTGTTTTTGGGCCTCCTTTTTAAGGTTAGGATAAGGGGCACTTTAGTACGACAGTTTCTTGACGTAGGGAAACCTTAGGAGGACGGGGTGGCAGGAGACGTGACCTGGTTGGGCCATTACAAGCGGCGGCTGCTTGTCTTGTCCTCAGCCAGACAACTCTGCTGGACGTAGAGGCGCTTAGGGAGCTTTCTGGTGGCGAGTTCCGAGGAGAGGAGAGGGGAGGAGTGCGTGGTAAACAAAGGTAACACATGTTCCTTACTATCTACACAGAGGCTATCAGCTGGGAGCCGCCCTGACGGCTGTCACCTGTGCTCTTAACACATCATAGCTGGACATAGAAGTTTAGGATAGACATGCAAAAGGCTCTCCCCTCCCCATCACTCTCCTCCTCTCCGTACTATTCACACTGCCAGCAACAAACTTTGAGAAGAGACTCGTAAATGAAACCTCAGTTTAAGCCTAACATCACCTGCTACCATTACCAATAAATGTAAGGTAATAAAGATGGGAAAGTGAGAAAGTGGACCATAAGGCATCTACACCATAAAGGGAAAGCAACTACAGGAGTCAGAAAGACAAAGATCAGGTGGATATAATTCCAACACCAGAGACACACATAAACATGGTAACATCGGCAGCAT